TGAGATTACTTCTGCATCTGTGGCTTCGAGGATGACACGGTGGATGTGGCATAGTACCAAGGAGAGTGGAATTGTCAAGTCTTCAAATGGCGTAGACTTCATTATAGTGTCTAGTGTGCGTAGAGCGGTTAGACAAGTATCAGGGTCTTGAGTTGCAAGGAGCATCAGAGCGTCACCAATGCTCTGATATTCGTCTGAGACCATGATGCCAAGGGAAGTTTCCCGCATGATTACGCGGTCGATGATGAAAACTTGAGCCAAGGAACTGCGAAATAGATCGTCTCCGTGGTGCTGACTAGGTCCGATATTGAATTCAGGACCAATGGAGACGGACCCGGCAAGGTCAGCCCAGCTATTCAGCACCGAGACTGCATTCGCCTGGCGGAGCATACTCATACCACACAAACCGACAACATCTAGGAAGGCGGATTTGACAAATAGACAATTGCTCGAGGCGTACCATATGGGTGCACTTCTGCAAATCTGTTGCATCATACTTGCGACACAGTCTAGGGCTGTGGATGGTTAGTTTGATTGAATGACTGAATGCAAGAGAAAACCCACTACATTGGCTCGAGTTGCGAAGGATCTTCTTCAACAAATACTTCACCACCAGAAGCATTCCATGCTGTCCATTGTGGCTGGCAGGGGCATTGTCCAGGATTGGACCAAGGGCCTCAACCCCCTCATTTGGGGAACACAGCGACACATAAGTTCTTGCGGCCATGTCTCGCATGTGCCAATGTGGGCTTGGAATAAGCTCCTTTACCAATTCCTGCATCTTTGAAATATATTCAGGCGGTGGTCTTGCTTGACGCAGAATCTGGAGAGCTGGAAAGACACCCTCAGCGCCATGAAGATCAAGAGGCGAGCTGCCCGTCTCGGGCGTGTCCATAATCTTTCGGTTGCCATTAGGCTTGAGTAAATCCAGCAATATTGTGACGAGACTAGGGTAGTTGTCATAAGAAAAGCGTGATGTCTTTGCCCGATCGCGTTCTTTCCAGTCTTGAGCTTCGTCACTGCCAAGCAACCTCTCTATGAGGGCTTTGAACAGCATTAGACTACAGTTGCGAAGAGGCCATCTATGAAGAAGTCAATATGAGAGCCGAAAGACGATCATATTTTCTTACATAGGTGAGCTGAGTGTTTTTGCGGCCAACTCGAGACCCTGGCCAATGTATGCTTCGGAAGCGATACTGAGCTTGGAGGTGGTAAATATCTCCTTAATGCAATTGAGTGCATGTACTTGCGGAAGACGACTCTCTTCAATATTTGCGCTTCGCGCTTCGACCAGTGTCTCTGCAGTAAGATCCTTCATCGCCCGAGGGAAGAGGCTGCCGTTGGTCTGTGGCTCCGCAGCCAATAGGGCTGACATGGCCGCTGGTATACCTGCAGATCTCCGAGTGATGGCGTCGGACTTGTCTTGAATAGATCGTAGAGTTTCCTGGTATACGTTAACATGTTTGCTTTGGAAGTTCGCACAGTCTCGTCATGTACCTGGTACCACGCTTCTGGCAATGCGCGAAGAGAGGGAATACTCGATATTACACAACGACGACAGAAAACTGCAAAGGTCTGCGATACAGTCGAAAAGGCACCTCGGTGCCGCAGCTCTAATAGCTGTGTAAAACATAGCCGCCCTAGCTTTTCGAAGAGCTGCGGTGTTACAAGATCACCGTCTGCATTACCCACGGGGGCCTTTGAAATGATGGTCCTAAGTAAGACACTGCAAGATGTTAATGAAACTCCTCGGTAATCGTCAATTACTCACCTTGCTTCCTTGAGGCCTCTCCATGAGTAGCTCAGAATTTCTTTGGTATCTAAGCTTCCCTCATCTTCCAACTCGTCAGGGATGTGCCCTTCTGGTGCATCTGCACATAGGACGTTGTAAACGAAGTTCCATAGGCTTTCGATACTTTCTACAACATCTCTATGAAGACTTTTCCAATTGGTAAAGGCACCTGGTGACATGCCTGATACAGAAGCATAGAAGTCAGGCTGGTCCACTACATATCGCAATGCCGCAAAGATACCATGTACAGGCCGGCCATCAACAGCCTGCGAAAGGTCCTTGTGTGCTATAGCCAATGTGTCATTGAGCTGCTTCTGGAGATGCTCAAAGATCTGGAACTTTGTAGAGAAGTAAGATCTCCCTAGAGTTACTTCTTCGTTACCTGCAGAGCTGAAGATCATTCCATAGGCTCGAGCAACACCATCCGCTTGATCAGCTCGTCCGGTTCGGAGCATGATAGTCTCTGCTCGTACGATGAATGGGGGAATTGCAGCCATCACACGGTTTTTATCCAACTCCGGTAAGGCTGATAAGCATAGCTGTAGAACTGACACGGCCGCATCGCGAACGTCATCAAAGGGGTCTAGTATCAGATCCAGTAGTGTTCGCACCAGCTTTTTGTTTCCAATCTGAATTCCATGGGCCCAGTTCAACTGCCCTTGCGCTGACTTCGAGAGACTATTGTATGGAACACCAGGATCCACGCCTGAACGTAGCACAATAACAAGAGATCTAAGGGCTGTAATACGACTCTGATAGGATGCGGTGGGGCGCAGCTCCCACTCGAGAAACCGTATGTACCAGACAACAAAGGAAAGTGACTCCAGAAGCGAGTCTTGCTGCTTGGAATGGGAAACGGAGAGACCGGAATCGAATGCTGCTTTTGGAAAAGGCAGTCGCGATTGATCAGCAACTTTGTTTTTCAGCAAACCCTTCGAAAGAGTGGCTGTGCTTGCCCTTAGGCGGTCAAATAGCTTCTGTGTATATCCGTGTACCTCTCTTCGAAAGTTGGCGTCTGTATCGGTATGTAGGTGGACGAGGTTACGCTTCAACGCTTGAAAGACGCTGCTGCTGACAATTCTTGTGACAGAGGTTGAATAGACTGAAAGAAACATCCCTGCAAGCCTGACCTCGGGCTCTGGATCAGTCATCCATTTACCTGTGATGTTGTCGGGCAGATAAACAGCGCCCTCGCGAATTTCTATGTTATTCTGAACTTTGTGGTCTGAATGGCAAGTAAGTAAATGTCCAAATTCATCAGTACTCCATCACGGTGCCGTCTTCTTACCGTTGTCCTTCACGATGGTGAGTTCTTTACCAGTCGCAATCGCTGCAAGCAAGATTCTGAATTCCATTGGTCCGTCGATATATGGAGTAAATTTGCTAGGCCCCGATAGTTCATCCGGTAACACACCATCGTGCGGAACGTATGAACTGAAGTGAAGGTACGATAGAAACTGGGTGTATTCGGCAATGTTTGGTAGGAAACAGTGAGGGAATACATGGGTCTTGAATTCCTGTATCCGATCCGGCCAGTCTCGTAAAGTTTCCGCTACCGGTTCTATCCAAAGCGGTATGTGCTTGCCATTGGCCTCCTGCTTCCAGTAGTCTGGAGAGCTGCGAGCCTTCGTGAGGAAGTTCTTGATCAAATGACCTGCAGATAGGGAGGTGTCATGATGAACGACCCACGCAAGAAAGGACAGAAAGACTGTCTGGGAAGTTGCGACGTCTTCGGCTGCACCAGATGAGTGCTTCGCCTGTTTCCTGAAAAGATCCACCAGCCCCGATACGGATACCACTTCCTTGAGCAAAAAGTGGGCGAGGCCTTGTAAAGCTGGCTTCACTTTGATCCTGTCCTCACGCTCACAGACGATATCCAGAAAACAGACCGTAGCTTTCTCTCGAAGCTCGATCGCGCGTAAGCTTTGGTCTCTGGTAATAACACTTGTAAGGACTAAAAGCATCTGCCTCATCGACTTGCCTTTTGCGTCGCCGGATCGCTGAAGATAGATATTGAACGCCTTCATGAAAACTGAATCATTTAGAATCTCTTCACGCACATATTGGCACTTGGAAGTCGTGCAATGCTCGATGATTGCACATAGTGCATTCGAGGCGGCCGCACGATGACTATTCTCCAAATCTGCCAGGTCCGCAGTTTCCAGGACCGGGGATAGAATTTTGTGAAGATTTCTAAGACTTTGTCAGTCTTATTCGATACCATCAAAGCAAAGCTCACGGACTTTGCATGCTTACTTCACACCAGCAGCCGCCTCTTCCTCTTCGAAATTAGGCAAGACCTTGGCCACATTTTTTGCCAAATCTCTCAGTGCCTTGTCAGGTACTGGTATTGCGGAGCCTTCGGATACTCCTTGGGTCATTTTTGGAGAAAAAGCTCAAAATTCAATGTCGCAAGTGCATCGGGTTCGATACAATTCAGGAGCGTGGTTTCCTTTAAGGGTGTGGGGGCATGATGACTCAGCGGCAAATCCTGCAAATTCGGCAATCGACACTGGATACCCCTACGAGGACGGGTATGCCCAACCCAAGGTTGGTTAGCGCGACACACTTATCACCTTCGGAAGTAGTGCCTGAATCAGGATACTATGCGACTTCCTTGTAATTCGTCTTTCATTTGCTGACCTTTGACTATGAGTAGCAACATGCTAGCGAAAAAAAATACGTTCAGTTCAAATCCAGTTACTGTTGTCTTTCTCTTGCAACCATGATGCCACTGAAGGAGATCTTGTCAAACTGTTGAAACTCCTCCTGTGCTCTCATGTTTGGCGGCTGTTCGATTCAATTTCAGGCGTCTGATTGTCACGAGAGAGAATCGCAAGATAGAAGCATGGATATGCGTCCTATCAAGAGATCTCTCACCTCGTCTGCCTGCCCCTCTTATAGTAGATCTATAACAGGTATCATATTCTAAGCTATTGATATTTTGGGGAGGCCTCACCAAGTGAAGTTAGCTTTACTAAGCCTTACCCTGTTTTCAGTGCCTCACGAAGTCTAAGCTTTAGGAAGACTTTGCTATCTCTCTGGCAGCTAGTTCTATACGTCTCATCTATACGCCCGGTAAGTCCACTGCTACTGAGAGCAGGTATTTGACAAGCCCAGGGATTGAATTGACATCCTTCTGCAAAAGGTAGAGGAACTATCAGCCTTTCGTACCACAAGCAAATAAGATCTCTGGAAGGCTGTTGAGATGCCATCCCAAAATAGTCTTTCACCGTATACCGCTGAAGCGGATGCTGCCACGTCAAAGAAGCGGCCGTTGTCGCTAGACACCTCTAGCAGTGCTGTGAAGCGACCAAAAACTAAAGGCGGCTTTGTATTGGACAGCGATGATAGCGATGAAAACGATGTGAACGAAATGAAGGATTACGTTTGTACTTCTCAGAGGTCATCTTCGCCACAAGTCACCTCGCAGAAAAAGCCTACTCTAAAACCCCTGCCAACAAAGCAACTCGATAAGTCTCATATTCGGGAACTTTTGGGCAAGAACAAAAAGTTAGACCAGAACAAACGACAGGCATTATCACCGAGTCCAGCTCAACAACCTTTGCAACGATCTGTGAGTACTGCTGCTCATTCAGTACTACCAGTACCTATCAAGAGCCGACAAGAGAATCTCGTACCGAAAAAACAGAATGGAAAGGCGAAGGTTTCTCAAAAGTCTGGAAGAACTCTTCCAATGTCAACAGAGATGGGCATTTCGAAGCAGCTGAACGCTGTAAAATCCGGGAGCAGAGTCGCTATATTCGAGACTACAGAAGAAAACCCCTCAGCCATTCAAGGAGTCCGTCCGACCACTTTTGATAGACAACTAAACAGCGACTCGAATCCTAAACGACCGGCTTTTAGCTCTTTTAAAAAATACACACAGCTTCCTGAATCAATCACATCTCCCTCGAAGCAGCTTTTACCAAAAGTGGAGGCTGATGGCGTTCCTTGTGGTGGTGATGTCAATAATGCAACCCCCAAGAAGCAGAAAATATTTCTAGCCAGCACTAGTATGAATAAGAAGGCTAGTAAGGAAAGAGCAGCCTTTACGCCTGCATCTAGCGCCGTCTCTGAAATGGGCTCAGCAGTAGATGCCGACAAAGTGTCTCCACCGGTTGTTCGTTTCGGAACACCAGGTACCCGAGCAAACAGCGGCAAGGCTTTAGATCTCAGTCAATCTCTCGAAATTTCTGCAGATGCAATACCTTACTTTGAGTATTCAATCTCCCAAAAGCAGTGGTGCGGTGAGCAAGACGAGAAAGAGGCTTTGATTAGTGAAATAACTGTACGTCCGTTCACCAGTATGTTTGATGCGAATGCACAGGCGGACAGATATTTCCAGAGCAAACAACAATACCCGGGCTACATGACCATTGAGCAGAACAGCAAGCGAGACGAACATGGCTGCATGGTTCTGACTAGCACCATAGCGCCTTTCGAATACCCAACCAAAAAACAACATACGCAGATATATGTCAAACGCGATTACGTTTCCGAGTCGGCAAACCAGACACCTCGTTCCATCAACGATGCATCCTTCATATCGGATACTGGCTACATTTTGAGATTGTTCAGGCTGATCGACTCTGGTGACTCTGACGCAAACTCCGACGCAGAGTCAGACAGCGGCAAAAGCAAGGTTAATGAACCTGTTCGTGTATACTGTCCTCACGGACGCCCGGAGGTGTACACCGCCTTGCAAGCTGCGAACCATGCTGCTAGAAGCCTTCAAATCGAGCTTGGCCACGAAAAGAACCCGACAAGCACAATAACCAAGAATTATCAGGAACAGGACTTGAAGAAACTCAACACGAAGGCACTTGCACTTGAGGCAGCTGGAGAAGGCGAAGATGGATGCTGGCACAGCAAATTCAACGCCCACGGCTTGGGAGGAGACACACTTGAGTTGGTAGTGGAGAAGGCAGGGATCTGCGGACCGAGGAATATTTAATGAGCGTGGCTGGAGGGGAGATCCCCAGGAGGTGATATCGTATTGTGGTACTGTACAAGAGGGCAAACGGGAACAATTGGGTGTGCTCCTGGTGGGATTCTCATATCACATCTCATACCTCTATGAGATCCTACTATATCAAAAGGGCGACAGTAAATTGTTTAATCCATATCATTTCAGAGTCGGTACAGAAGAAGAGGATAAGAGAAGGACAAACATATAAGCTACATAACACACCTCCCTCTAAAAGTCTTGCTCTACCCCATCTAAGCCACACAAAGCACGCAGCTAACATTCCCGCCACGTAAGCGTCCAGCTTGCATGCTTGAAATCATACTTCCCAAAATCACCCTGCACAACCGGTCGAAAGTTGACATTCAGAATCCCCGGATTGCCATCTGCCTCCGTGCACCTGGACCACTTGAGATCCGAAGCGCTACTCCGCACTGTAACGTAATCCTTGACGTCTGGTCCTGTACTCATCAAGCCACCTGAGAGAAGACCCTATTATCCCCGAAAAAGCAAAAAATCGTCAGTTACATGTTTTTCCTTTTTCGGAGAATGAGGTAGTATACAATCAACTTTTCCAGTCATAGGAAAAGAAAATAGAAGAAGATGGGGAAAAGAAGAAAGAGAAGAAGAAGAACTCACCGTGTCCCCCGCATTCTCGCTCCAAAAAACTTGCGTGAGCGTATTTAGTCCGCTGTTTCCTTTCAACTCCACATTGCCTGCGTAATCTGCCTGTTTGAGCGCAACCTGCCAGCCGGGACTCGCGCCAGAAGACTGAATGTGTACGCCACAATTGTTTGTCGAGTCGCCCTTGAGCTGGGAAAAGGAGACGCCGGCCGAGTCCCCGAGAATGGTCGTGTCGGACGTTACGGAGCCCGAGTCGTTGGGGCAGCCGGAGCCGGAGAAGACGAGGCGCGTTATTGTTGGGGGAGTAGGGGGAGCGGCGACGGCGAGGAGCGCGAAGCTAAGAAACGGAAAGATGCGGGCATGCATATTTTTTCCTTTCCTTTTCTTTTCTTTTTAAAATCGGTAGAGACGATGCTAAAGGCGGTCTACCAAAGGGAGGAAAATTGATGGAAAGATTGATTGTGTTATTCTTTGAGGTAAATGGGTATCGAAACTTTGATCGTAAAAAAACCTCCGTTTCTCAATCTTCTCTCAGCAATGGACAAAACCAAGAAACCCACTCTCCTTTATATACCTCCCTTCCTTCCCCCCCTCTCTCTCACTTGATCAATCTCCGCAATTATTTTATCATCTACTTTACTCTCTCCTTTCCTCCCTGGTAAACTGTAAAAGAAAAAAAAGTCCCGTCCCTGCAAATCCAGCCACTCAACTTTTGATATTGTTTCTCTTCCCGCCACTGCATATAGAGCCATTTCCCCCGCCCCTCTAATATAAACGCTGCGTGTTGTTGCGCTCTGGCCCGCGTCCCATCCGGCCCTTACGAGCATTTATCCAAATTAAGCGAGTCGACGGAGTGACCAATCAGCATTGCGGTGCCGCCTGTGTACCGCGACAACGTTTGTATAGTATAGGCCTTCTAGAACGTCCTTGTCCGGAATTTAAAAATCAAATTTAGTCTTTTCGACATTCCCACTGCCCGCCCCGCGGTGTATGTGGTCATGGGTGGATTTTGAGGTATTGGTGTGGCGTTGATATGTTCTGAGGGGCAAGAAGAATAGTATATTAAAGAGTAAGCTCTTCTTTCCTGCTGCATTAGGTCCACGTGGAGGGAAAGAAAATGGGATGCGTATTACTATTGTTCGTCTTTAAGACGGATGAGCGTCTGGGCGTCGTATTCGAGATGTGTGGGCTGGAAGCGCCTCGCCACTTCCTTCGTATTAACAATGTAAGACCTGATTAACTTTATACAATGCGATATACTTCACTGCATGTAAGGTTCAATGCCGGTGAAAAAAAAGATAATAGATTCATCATCTACTATCGTAGCATGCCGCTTCAATATTGATGTGAACTAAAAACTTGATGCCATTAATAAAACGTGTTCATGCGGTAAATCATTGTCGGATATCGTACAAGCTCCTTCGCCGAAAGCGCCTCGCTATATGCTATTTTAGAAAAGGGTGTGTTGGAAATGTCAATATACAAAAGCCAAAATCCAGTTTCTTACTCTCCAAGTCTTTCAGCACCTTCTTTTCGAAAGCGTGGCTCTTAGATTTATGCCCTACATGGTCTTCCTGATTCTTCTTCTCTTGCGTCCACTGTCGATTTCGACACTCGAACTCATGGTATCTCTGGCACTGCGCGGTGTTGAAAACCGCTCTTTGATGTTGTCTCTAATCATCTTTCTCGTCTTGTCGCGCTTCAGCTGGCGCTCCTCATCTGGTGCGACAAAGCGGTGCACGGTACGATGGTCACGAATGCGTTGTTCTCGGTCATGCTTACCCTCTCTTTCCGTCTTTGGCCAGGGAAAACCATACAGTTTGGAGTGACGCTCACACCGCGGGCATTCCTTACGAGTATTATTGCCCTCTTGCTGGACAAAGTCCATTTCACATGTGTGACAATTGACCCACTTGGAGCCCTTGGCAGAGAGCACCGCATTGGAAGTCATGTAGTCACCTGGTTTGCGCGTGTTCTCGACGTAATCGGCCTCGTCTCCGTCTTCGATCGTAATGGGTGTTCCGACGCGGTTCTGAACGTCAAAGCGCGATTTGGAGCGAGTGGTTCGAATAACGGGGCGTGGCTTGCGCTTGACAATCTGCTGATTTCCATCGTCAAATTCGAAACTCTCAGAAAGTTCGCTGAGATCGGACATAGAGTCTGGTTCTGCTGTAGGTAGAGAGGGCCACGGGGCGTTTACCGTAGTCGTAGTAACTTCCTCCTTCACTGTCGTTACTCCCAATGTCGGCTGATCATGAATGGTTTGCGGGTCGACTTTTTCTTTTGATTCACCAGCTTCCTGAACATGATCTTCGTCGATTGATGTGGCATCCGTCGATTCTGAAGACTTGGGCGATGCAGCCGCTATTGAAGATTGCGGCGAGATTTCCCTAGAAGAAACGGTTTCATCCGTTCTCACTGTGAGGAAGCCTTCGCGCTGCTGGTTGCGCATCTCGCGTGATATTTGCGGAAGTGCGGTCAAGTTGCTGGAAGGATCTTCTATGCTCGAAACAGCAATTTCCTGTCGTAATGACGATGTGCTATGAGCCTTTTTCAGTGTCGTCATTCGCAACAAGTCCGACTCATCAGGCTTTGTCGGCGAGGTCTTTTGTTCAAATTTAGCTCGCTTGGATGTTGGCATGGAGTCAGACTCGGGGTCTTCAACGGTGGAATCTTCCCACCGCCGCTTTACAGATGTCTGTGTGTCTTCAGAATCGACATCATCCTGCTCATGGCTTGTGGTTTCGGTTTGCTCAGTAGGTTCCTCGCCATCGCTGCGCTCTACTCGCTTCATTGGTGCCCATCCGTTCTGTTGCAAGCGCTCACATGTACTGCAAAGACACTCTTCGTTGTCATCGCCGAAATAATCCTCGCCATATGACACAGTAATCTCCTCTCCCTCTGAGATGGGCTTTATTGCAACAATCTGCATGCCGTCGTAGCCCTTGGTGGTGAGCTTTGCATTGGCATCGCAATCATGGTTGGCGAAGCGTGCTGGGCCCAGAAAGAGAGAGCGTGTCTTCTTTCTACTGGAGATGACCAAACTGAAGTCCTTGCGCAGTAGTTCCAAAGTTTTCTCTTGCTCTTCGGTCATGGCCACTTGGACACCGGTCAGATACTTGATCTCCTCACGTGGGTTGATGTCGCGCCGTGCGGTGATTGAGGCCTCGTGCTCTGTGATGGTGTAGCGATTCGTAGTTGTCACGTCGAACTGGCAGTCGGGCATGTAGATGTTGACATATCTGCGGAGATGTCGCCTGAACTGCTCCTGGTCACGCTCGTCTTTCAGGCCGACCAGGAATCGACGCAGACGAGGCAACTGCAGCAGTTTCTGCACGGCCTCGGCAGGATCTTTGTCCCAGATGACGTGTTGGCGAATGATGTCGGCGACGTGTTCGCCATCCAGGCCTCGCACGCCGGTGAACCGGCCACCTCTGTTCTTGCGGATGGTGAACCAGCCATAGACCTTGTCGATGACAGCGTCGGTGATGATGTCGTCGAAAGTCGCGAGCTTGTCCAGCGTGAGCTTGGTCGAGGGCGCCATGGCGGCGCAGTGGCCGGGAAAGAGGAGGCGGATGTCGATGGGCGAGCAGGAGTGGTATCAGGCGGTGTGGACAGTAAAAATGGTTGTGGGCGTGGTTGCGAAAGGGGTGGATGGCAGTGGTCGCTGACGTGAATGGGGGCCGGGTGGTGAGCGGAGGCGCGGCATGCGATCAGTGGCGTACGACTATAACAGCAGGCGCACAACAAGGAAAGGGAAGGAGCGTCTCACGCCGTGACAGCAGCAGCAGGAGCAGCAACAACGACGCGTGTATGCAAAGGAAGGAGTGTCGGGCGCGCACGGAGACGACTAGGATAGAAACGGCTGGATAGTCTGGAGACCGGCGGGAGGACGAGACGAGTGACAGGGCTGGGCTAATACTGGACTGCTGGGCTGGGGCTCAAAGAAGACCCCTGCCGGCTCCGACCCAGATCTCACGCGCGGCGTGAAGGGGGGTGCGTAAGCGAGAAGCGAGCCGCCTAGGGCAAGTGAGGGAGGACCGGCCGGAGAAAGGCCGGCAAGCAACTTCAACTTCGTCGTGCAACGGCGGCATTGCACGCAAACCGTTTGATCGATAACGCCGCCGTCAGCACACAGGTGCACACTGCCGTTCTCGCGAGCAACCAGACAATAGAGCCAAGGCGCATACGATGATTCAACTAAAGGTGTGTCTGCCCGCGCCTCAAAGAGCACAGCAACAGCAACAGCAAGAGCAACAGCAGCTCACATGCATCAAATCTAGTCACTCGTCAATTGCATCGACAACTCGGGCGCCGCAATCGTCGAGTGCGTCAACGTCCTGCGATCGAAGCGCCCTGCCAAAGTCGGTATGTGCCACCCCTAGACGGAGACAGAGGTCGGGGGGGATCGAGGTTGACGACAGCAGGCGACCGCATTGTCGTGGTGGTGAAGAAGCAGCGCAACTTTGGCCCCGAAACCGGCAACAGCGTGTCCATCAGCGCAGCCAACAAGGTGCGGCGAGGCGATGTGCGGCACGCAGTCGTCGTGCGCACCGCCAAGAAGTGGCAGCGGCCAGACGGCAGTGTCGTCAAGTTCGACGACAATGCCTGCGTCCTCATCAACAAGGCCGGCGAGCCCATCGGATCCAGAGTCAGCGGCGTCGTCGCTGCAGAACTGAGGCAGAAGCAATGGTCCAAGATCTTGTCCCTCGCCCCAATGCACGTCTAAGCCAGACGAGCCAGCACAGCAAAATTCAAGAAAAAAAGCAGCACCTTGCACACTTTCCGTGACTGCATCTTTGCACTTTCCCAAAATGCCCAAGAATAAATGTACTATTATCATCTCCATGTCACTACGTCATACCCACGGGGTATCTGAAGGCCCTCTTTTGTTTTTGTTTTTTCCTCCCTAAACTCCTCGCTTTATTATATATCTATCATGAGAATAAACGCCAACCGCATGCATGTCATGTCGCAATTCGCCTAGTTGTTGTCGGATGGGCGTGTGACGTGACCGCATCCCGCGCACACGTAGTACAGGGCCTGGTACAAAGTCAGACATGGCCGCCACTCAAGATTGCCTACTCACCATGCCCGTCTCGGCAGTGCGCTGCTGCGACTGGAAAAAGACGGCTTCGTTCTCGCCGCACTCTGTGCATTGTTTCTGCACTCGTGGTAACTAGACGCAGGTACAGTCAGCGAGCACGCTCAAGAGCAAGCAAGCAACTGTACTGGTAGTGATGCGCACGAGGCGCGCATTCAGGGCGTGTGCTTGTCATGCCACATTTCCTCGTCAAAGTCGTCGTAGTCGCCATACATGTCCTCGTCGCCGCCCATGTCTTGCTGGGCGAGTGCTGCCTGCGGGTCCTCGTCCTCGGCCTCGAGCACAAAGCCAGGGGCCGGTTCCTCGCCGCATTCTTCACACATGATGGGCATGCCACACATGGTGCAGCAGGGCATCTCCTCAGGAAGGGCTTCTTGGGCTTCTTGTGCTGCTTGTACATTGGACAGGGAAGGACCAACCGTGGGATCTTGGGCAACCTCCGCTGTCACACCGGCCGTGGCTCCGACCGTCGAGGCGATTTCGTGGCGCATCACGCAAGACGAGGGCGCTTCTTCGGTGAAGTTGCAGGTGCGGCACGCAAAAAGCAACTTGTTCTCCGACTTGTCTTCGCGGGGAAACAGGAGGTTGGAGCTGCCTCTGGTCAGCGGTTTCCACCATGTGGCAGGGCGGCAAGGCTCACCATTCCGAGCAGAAGCGGAAGAGAATGGGCTCTTTGCCGCCTTTGACACCGCTCGTTTGGGCTGCTGGGGACGACATATTGGCGGTGGAGGGTGCTAGACAGTAGACAGGAAGGAGGGTTCGTCGTGTGCTGGTACACTAGTTGGCCGTACGAGGTGGTAGTTTCTGTGCAGTCGCGCCCGTGTTGACAATCGCACGTTTTGAGAAGGGAACACTGGTGGTCGAGACATGGGCATAGGCTGACTACTGCTATGACTGAGCGCGCGGACCACCCCACTTGGCTCGCGCCGCCTCTGTTGCCGTGCAGGCCCTTTGTTTGGCAAAGACCCCCCCGCATTGTCGACTTGGGACTGCCGATCGCCCTGGCCACCGCCTTCAATTCCAGACGTCGCTCCACGCTGCCTCCTTTGACTGCCCCCTGCAAAGACTCCCATCATACTCTGCGCCGCTCCATCTATACTGCATCAAACTCTGGTTGCACCCCATCAAGACACAAGTAGCAAAAATGGTACGCATTGCGCGAGCCCGTCTCCACGCCTGGCCTTCAGCTGCTCACACGTCATAGTCGTCCGCCGAGACTGGTCTCCCTGAGGGGTGGGAGGTGCGCCGCTCGAATACGAAGAACCTACCATACTACTTTCATGCGCAAACCAAGGACTCGCGATGGGAACCGCCCGCGGGCACCGATCCGGAGAAGCTCAAGGCGTACATGGCAGCCAACCACAGCTCCAAGGGCGTTGCGCCTGCTGCCTCTGCGCCGACTGAAGGCAAGATTCGATGTGCTCATCTGCTTGTCAAGCATCGCGACAGCAGACGCCCTGCTAGCTGGCGGGAACCCAACATCACGCGTTCGGTGGAGGAGGCTCGCGAGATGATCAAAAAGTACCACGAGCAGATCAAGGCATACGAGCAGGGCCAGAGTGATGGAAACGCAAAATCACTGTCTGAGCTGGCAACGACCGAGTCGGACTGCAGCAGCGCCCGCAAAGGAGGGGACCTGTGAGTTGGCCGTGGGAATTGGACAAGAGCTGGTTGGCTAACGATGAGCAGTGGCTTTTTTGGCAAAGGCGACATGCAGAAGGAGTTTGAGCAGGCAGCATTTGCGCTTGAAAAGGGCCAGGTCAGCGACATGGTCGAGACGGCATCAGGAGTACATTTGATCCAAAGGTGGGATGACTATCACATGGGCTGATCACGGTACTAACGAAACGCGCGATATAGGCTGGAATAGTCGAGGTGCCGTGCCAATGGTGTGGAAGAGAGACGGCAAGCCCAAGCTGTCGAGATTGCTTGCACTTGGACTACCTACTTGCAAAGCGCCGGGCAGGGTGCTGAGGGATTTACTGGGGCGGATGCCGGCTATGCTAGATAAAAGGGTGTCAAGCGTGGCCCAGCGTCGCACAAAAGCGCTCAACACCAAACAATGATAACCATGAAGTGCAATGCTACCACGGTAGGCCAATGCAAATGAGAGTCGTCATAGTCTAGCAGCTGCCGCGCGACCGAAACATGAAGTGGGTGCCAGTAGTCTGTTGTCTGGCCACTTACACCATGACGTCTCGCACAGGCTCTTGCTGAAGCGACAAACAGGTTCTGCACCACTTTATTCGCGTGCTGACGACAGACAGACAGACAGACCACACAGACGTGTTGGCGAGCGAGCCATGGTTCCGCGGCGCCACAAGCAGCGGCAGCGGCAGCGGGAGGGGGCGAAGATGATGTTCGCGACGTCGTTGTTGACGACAAGAGCTGGGCGAGGGCGAGGAAGCTTGCTTTTGCGTCTTTTTGCCCGCGCCCGCCGTCGTTGTGACGATCAGCACGTCGGTGGAAGCATGTTGCACGCTAATAGAAGTCGAGTCGAGCAATTAGGTGCAGACGGGCGTCCGCGTCTCAAACACGCCACGGCCAGACTTTTTTGAAACACGGCTGCTTTTGACGCCGTCGGGCACAGAGGGAGCCCAGCACACACACACGCACACACACAGCACACAGCCCAGCCCAGCCATACGCACTGTGTACGTACATAGGCGGAGCAATCTCAAACCGTGTCAGCTCTGGGGGGCTGCTGTCGGCATGCCGACGTACTGCGCCATGCCCTCCTCAGGCTCAGCTGGCTGTTCCGGTTCATTCCGAGGACAGGATGCGGCGGCAATGACTGATGTTTCGCGTAAGTGGCTGCTTTGTTTTTTTTTTGCCCTTGCCCACCTCAGTCCACATCAGCGCGCACACACTCACGTTGCACCCACACATGGGCACACAATGGCGACCAACCGTTTCCGGGGCATGCTCTAGCCCCAGACGGGCTTCTGGGCGCTGGCTGGTGTGGCGCACTGCCAACGCGGTCTTTTTTGGACCGTCTTGCATGCTGATAGCGTGGCCGCAAAAATGCTATGCAGCAGAAGCAGCAGCAGCAGGCATGCGGCAGCAGGCGTGCAGCAGGCAGGGCAGCCAAGGGCCGGCCGGACAGGGCAGGGCCGGGCAAGGGCAAGGGCATGGCCATGGGCGTCCGAGCGTTTGGGCTCTCTACCAACCGCCCACCCTCCTCCGTCCTCTAGGCGGGCGTACCTTAGCCTTAGCTGCCCTTCACACGGCCACCGCAACGTTTTCCCTGCATGCTGGCATCTTCCTAGGAGCGCCGTCTTTGGGTCGAATCAATGGGTCTGCGCCCTCCCAACCACACCAGACGCGCCTCATTTGCCGCACGCGGCGCTCGCTGCTCCATTGAGCCTGCGTTAGCATTTGACGTAGTAGCTGCTCGTCGGGTATATGGGAAACCGCCCAGCACCACCCTTTGATTCCCATCCGCACACCCAAACGCCGCCCGCACAGTACCCGCACCCCCCTGCCTAAAACTCCACACTTCTTCCTGCTGACTCCGCTACGGGCTTCGATCACCAGCCCTCGCACGATCCTTTCACCCTCCCCCCCCCCTCCTCACCTCTTTCCACCTCACCCACCTTGTGGCACATTATATACTTTGTCTAGAAAGTTCCCTCTCTGCCTACAAATACTCCCGCAAGCCCCTGGGCCCCTTCCTTAGAGCACCGGTCAAGTACCACGCCCTAGAGTCAGTTCGCTGGCCCACTCCACTCTTCATCGTGCGCACGCCACAGACCTGCTCAGTCGTAGTACCATAACGCCCGCCATGGCTACTCCACAATCTCCAAAGCCCATCTACAACAACCCCGGTCGTCCTCGTCGCGACAGCTGCCGGCCCATGGGAGCGTCGCTGTCGAGGTCGTCGTCTTACCTCAATGCTGCTCGTGTCGCTGCTCCCAAGGACGGAGATGCCTTCAGCTACAACCCGGCCCACCTGCGCCATTGGTATTGCCCGCAAGAACTCTGGGATCGCCTTCCCGAGCAAGTCCAATCCAGCCTGGCCGCTCTTCAACACGCTGGCGCTGCTGTTTTGACTGGTACGTTCTCACTCAGCCCTGTCCCATTCTTCAATCACGTGTCGTCTTTTTGTCCCTCACGTGCATCCCTACCTCGGTCCGATATTAATTCCGTACAGGTTTCGAGCGACTCGACAAGCACCTGGAGAGCTCCGACGACAGTGATGTCGACGGCAAACCTGCCGCTGACGACTCGCTGGCTCAGCTCGATCAGCTTCCATCGCCAAGGTTTCGCACAATAAGCAATGCCAGCAGCGTCTTCCAGTCGGACTCGTCTACGCCCCTCACCAGTGCCTCATCCACCTCTCAATCTGGAAGCGCGTCGCCTGTGGAATCATCGCTCCCAGCCTCTCATCTCTTATGTCCTGGCTCCCCCATCTCGCTCCCGACCTCTGAGCGTTCTCGTTCGCGCGAGCGATCCTTCTCGACGCCGCTCAAGTCACATGATGCCTATTATGCGGCAGAGCTATCGCATCTGCGCACCGAGGCTCTTCCCCGTCTCCGGCACAAGACTTACAAAGTGGACTCCGCATGGTCCGAGGCCAAGCCTCACATGCACGCAGACGACATCAATGCCTTTGAGAACTGGTTGGCGGAAAAGAAGTGCGCGATATTGAGTCTCAGTGAGAGGGGCAAGCGCCTTGCAAAGGCTGTGGGTATTGCCGACACTGGGCTCGGGTGGTGTGCTCCGTAGAGAGAGGCTAGCGAGGCACACGTGCTTGGCGCAGCTTTCACATGGGATCACTCAGCGTGTCGGGCACACAACGTGGCATAACAGAGTCTGCCACAGGCTCTGGGCTGCCATGCGCTAATTTTTTTCTCTACTCTCTGTTATTGCTGGTTTTACTTTGTATGCATATTTAGCGCGGAGTTGGTTGGTATTTACCGAGATAGGGATCTATGCGGGAGCCGGAATCATCCCAACTCTACTTGGACTGGAACGGCGTGTGGGAATTTTTCTTTGGTTTGATGCGTCCCGGATAATGAGTAACCACTGAAATTGGACTCGTATTGCTGGTTGATGCCTTGCGGTATTTTTTCTTTCCGCCGGCTGTGAACAAGTTTCTGCCACAGGGTTGGGCCTGGCCGGCCAGGTTGTTATCAGATGCAGTTAGCGAATGATAATGTTTGCTTGATAAAATTTGTATGTATGTATGTATGTGTGTATGTGTTGGTAGTATGTGTGTGTGAGTATGTACTGCGCGCACTTGTGGTTGCTTGTGACAGGCGACATGGAGCTGTCTCGGCCACGGAAAGCTGCAATGGTTGCACCACAAGACCAGTCATGTGGCATTGCAAGTGCAGGACTTGTGGCTGCCCGACGCACATTGCAGGAGATTCGGCGCGTCAATCTATCTTGAACCACGGGATGACAGGGCGGTTGTTGTTGTTGGGAACGTCGCAAAGACATGGACCAACCACCCATCCACCCCTCCTTGGCCAGCATGTTGCCTGCAGCAACACGGGCTAACCCGATGCTAGACCTGTCATGACTGCTATTTACCTACTTGCACACGCGGCACCGTTGCCCTACACTATGTAGAGTTGAGTAGAGTACATACATAATCTATGTAGCATACATGTACGTACTGCAGCCTGCATCTCCCGCTCGACGCACCAAGTGTACCGCTTACGTCTCCATCAGCACGCCCTCCTCTCTCACTCTCACTCTGACTCTGACTCTGCTTACGCCAATCTAAAGCGTCTCGATCTCCCAATCTCTCGATGCCCCAACACGGCACACTTGGCGCATGCTGGTGTGATGATTTGCAGGCGAATCATGACGCATTTTGGAAAGAACGAGGCCAGGGTCCTTGGCCTGCGATTCGTCGGCCTGCACGCGGGCCCCAATCCTTCTCCTCGATCCCCAACACCACACCTGCCGTTCCTGAAGCTTCGCCTTCCTGTCCCACCTTGCTCATCTTCGCGCCCCAGGCCTGTCCTGTCTTTCAATATCCGTCATCGTCGTCGTCGTCGTTGTCGTCCTCGCCGTCGTCATCCGTATCGGCTCGAGCCTGTCTTGCTCCCTTTCGACTGCTGTCGGTCCTTCCGTATACTATGCTGCCACCCAAGTTGAGTTTGTTGGCCATGTCCTTGTCCTGACTACCCAATCTACCATCGCCACGTCCTTTTACTATGCAAGTTATCAGTACACATCAGGCTTTGCAACAATACGACGCTTACCACTCCATTCAAGCCCGCCCCGCTGTCGTGAGTTTGGCCGCATCCAAGATTCATCCTGCCCTACTACGTCAAAATCACCACATACACTGTCTCCGCGCGCCCCTCTTTGCTGACCATCACAACTACTGCTACTACCACTACCATTACTATTACTATTACTGTGACGTCCCAGCATCCCTCCGCGGCCACCCGGAACTTGCGAATCAACGGCCATGCTTCGATTACCTTCCACAGTACCCTTGTCCTGTCGCTCTCCCGCTTTAGCCCCATGGTGTGATGTGGAGTTGGGCCGCATGGCTTTCCTCCTCCAGCTGCCCGTCTTCTTCTTCAGCATGGTCATGTGGGGCTGCATGTACCCATTATTCATCATACCGATAGCAGTACTATCAAATCCCATGTCACTCATGTCGCTCATGTCGGAAATGTCATCCTCATGTCTGCGCATACCTGCAGCAGCCAAGCCACTAGCAATACCATGTGGCATTGGTCCGATTCCTGATGGAGCCACACCGTACAGATTATAGTTCGGCATGCCCATTTGTCTAGCTGTGCGTGCGTCAACATGGGGCCCGTTTGCCATGTAGTATGAGCTTTGTCCAGATCCGGAGGCCCCAAGCGAAGGCGGCCGTGCGGGGCTGTGCCCTCGATGTCTCTGACGACCTTCTTTCCTCATATCATCGAAACGCTCGTCTAGCGCTTCCAGTAGGTCGTCTTTTAAGCCTTGAAACTGCTGCTGGAGTCTCTTCCTCTCTTCCCTGCCCCCATTGTTATTCTTGTTCTTGTTCTTCCCCCTCCTCTCTTGCCTCTCGCTACCGCTTTCGCTCCTCCGGCATCCAGTGTGGTTATCACAGTTCCGCCCCAGGTCGCCTTTTAGTATGTATCGTATCTCTCCACTGACGTACTCGTGGTCTTCAATGTCAGAGTTATCGCCGTTCTTTCGACGGTCCTCACGTGCACGGTACAGGACTCGCTGGCTTTTTCGACACTTGCAATCTATGGTACAGATACAGGCGTCGAGAAAGGCATCGCCATCCAACCACTCTTGGCCTGACGGCCCGACCTTGTTGCCTGAAGACTGTCCACGGTTCAGATGTGTCGAGGTTTGCGGATCGACATGTGAGCTTAGCGGTTTTCTTGCCTTATTCGTATCTGTATATGCTCCCATTGGCACATGCTCGTAGTGGTTCGGCCGCCCTCGTGGGACCGGCTGCGGCGGAAGTGTACCGCTACTCGATAGCGGACTACTACTAGGTAGTGGGCCAGGGGGGTAAGTTGGATAAGGACTGACTAAGCCTGTACCGGGCATCACCCCGTCTTCGCCGTACCCAACCAAATCGGGATTGGATGTGTATTCTGGAGGCAGCCCAGATGGCTGCTGGCCGCTTCCGATACCACTCGCTGGCACTCGTACCGGCATACCTGCGTATCCCCATCCACCAGGCATCTCGGTTGCTGACCTGGGTTTCGAGTCTAGGGTATCAAGCCGTCCAAACACACCCCTCCCCATACTTTCGCTAAGACATCCTTTCGATCCTTCCTTGCGTCTTCTGGCTTCGGCATCTACCGTCACATCACCCAATGTGTTCTCACCCTCTCCGCCTGTCTCCTCTGTTATGTCAATGTCGGTTCCTCCCCTGCCATATCCATATCTCAGCGTGTTATTCTCCCTTCTACCTCGTGCTCGTCCTCTAGCGTACGGTGCGTATACGGGACCAACAGCACTACTTGTATAGAGACCCAGCTGTGATCGAGAGTAAGACGGGGGTGGATGAACTGTAAATGCCGTCCCTGCCAATCGGTGAATACAAAGTTTAGTTACAACGTATCAATGTATCGTCCGAGGAAAGTGGGGCGAAGTGGATGTGGGGAGTAAGCAGGGTGCGTAAGTGCAGCGAGCGGGGGGCGCGCGGAAGAACAAAAAAAGAAGAGGAAGAAGAATGGACGAGGGATATCCACATACCCGGAGGAACAAGTACCTTGCCTCTTGGAGCGCCGACATGAACAAGAGGCGGCGGTGTCGAGTGCGATGAGCCCATGTTCAACCCGTCTCTATCTCTTCTTCTACTAGTAATTATAGTAGAACATGAAAAGAAACATGCCGCCCTCTTTTTCCCCTCCTCTCTAAGTAGTAGTAGTAGTAGTAGTAGTAGTAGTAGTAGTAGTAGTAGTAGTAGTAGTAGTGGTGGTGGTATACTCCCTTTCTTTCTCTCAAAATTCGCTCCCTTCCTTCAGCCCACCCCAGGAAGGAAAATTAAAACGATACTAGAAAGTTAATGGAAAATATTTAAGATTTACCAAGATGGGGGGTTTTTCTTTTGCACTCCGAAGAGTAATCGAACTGTCGTTCACCCCAACCAGACAAACAAAGACCTATCGGGAAAAAAATCGGTCGAAAAATAACAAGAAGAAAGTTCGATGGGTGGATGTTGGCACGATAAAGGTGCACGTGGTGAATCAACTTGCAGCTGCAAATACTATAGTGAGGAAGCGGATTGATTGATTGTATCTGTTATCGTGTTGAGTATCTACAGTACCTCCGCGCACGGGCCAATAGGCGGTGACGACGCCTTTGCCAGTGCTCGTGTCGACCAATCAGTGTCGCGGATCAGTAGGACTCAAAGTCGAGTCCTAATTGATTCCAACAGTGGACGAAAACTTGCGATATAGCAAGGACGAGAGAGAGAGAGAGAGGACATGTCACTTCTCCATTATTATTATTATTTTCGTTCCTGATACCTTTCCCCTCCCCCAACATGGGTTGCCCGTTTGCAAAATCTCTCCAAGTCATTTGACCAAGTTCTTGTTTTTTTGGGCAAATATCTCCTTTGTTTGCTTTGCATACATGACTTGTATTCTTTCCTACTCATGCTTGTCCGTGTGTCACCTCTTTGTTTTACACGCAATTACATGTGGTGCTATATTAGTTACAAAAGTTTTACTGTTTCACGGCATATGCTGTGTTTGTATGCTCGCCGGCGTTGCATAAATTCTTATTTTCTTTGCAAACACCCGAATACTGGGCTGTTTGTGGAATCTTGGGTGCGTGTGAAAATTATGGGAATGAGAATGTGGGAGTGAGTTTGTTTGGGTGAGAAAAATGCATTGTTGTGTCGTTTTTTTTATCGATATGTTGAGTTACGTATATTTTTGAATGAAAAGCAAAGGATAGACAGCAACCAAAGGATTTTTTTTTTAAAAAAAATATAAGTGTTCCAACGCAGCGAAAAAATAACACAGCCCTTGCGCTGAATTTCTACTTGTTTCACGATCAGCAGTATATCAGTCTGATTTTGAGAATGTACATTGCCTACAATCGTGTCGCGCAGGCGTGTGGAGAGGTGCAATGGTTCCCCGCTATACTTGGTAGGGTAGCTACACATGCCAACAATCACATTGACTTCAATACGTACACACACAAACAGAATCGCTACATCACATGTCAAATCATATCGCATAGTTTGAATCTCTCAAGTCATTTATTCACTTCTTCCTCAGCTTGCTAGCAAACTTCTGCACTACATCATCATCGCTAATCAAATCATTACGCAGAATCTCGTGGTCCCATAGCCGCCAACGCCAAAGCCGTCCAATACCCGTTCAACACTAACAAGAAACGAAAAAAAAGAAGAACAAGGAGCAACGACAGCAAGATGCAACAAAGAACAAAAACAACTAGGAAAACGCTAGACAGCAAAACACAGCGCGAACCACACGTCCACAACTTCGCGCCTCTCCATCATCAACGCGGACGTACAAAATAAAAACAGTCGCTTCGGTTAGCGTACGGATCTGTTTGATGTGGGAAATGGATGCACAGCACCCACGCCCGTCAAACCTCGTCGCCCCTTCCCACGTCCCCACATCCCCAATCTGAGTCTGTAGGAAAACAAAGAGTGATTGCAAAGCTAAAACGCAAGGAGATGCCAGTAAGTAAAGTGAATGTCCAAGAATGCGACTAGAGAAAAGGGTATCGACGATGAAGAGAAATGAAGTAGCTTTTAGAAAATCATCGATCGAACCTGATCTCTACGTCCCGACTTTGCAGCAGACTCCTGTGTTCGCGGCCTTGGAGGCGGCGCATGCGACATGCGCATATCTTTCAGAGGTGGAGCTGGTGCGTGCGATTGCGTTCGGGCATGACCCTTGACGGGGCTGGCGTTGGGCCTGGGTGAATGGACATCGTGCGATTGAGTGCGTGCGTGAACCGGGCGATCGACGTTTGAGTTTGAAGTAGGAGACCCCAGCTGGGCTCGTTCCTTGCGTTCCTTGCGTTCCTTTTCAAGGACCATGGCGGCCCAGCCCTTGTTCTGTGCAATATCCTTTCCGACGGTCTCGGAAAGGACCTTCATCCAAGCCTCCTTCTGATCGCGGCTGTCGGCATAAAAGTCAATGACCTCGCCGTTGGCGAAGCGGATGCGGAATCCCTCCTCGACAAACATGTAGCCTTCTTCGTCTTCAGCAAACCCAGACTTGCGGCGGCCACCGGACTTGGTCGCAGAAGGCTGTTGAAGGGCTGACTTGTCATCCATGAGCTTAGAGGCCTTTGCCAGGTTGATGGTAGCACGTGGCTGGCGCGTGGACTCGTGATACGCAGTGAGCTTTGTGCCTTCCAGGCGGAAGAATCGGCGACGCCAGTACTACAACATGTTAGTTTGTGTTTGTGAATGGTTAATGTGGCAGGTACTTACGGGACAATCACCACCTTGCTGGCTTAAAGTGCCTTCGAAGCTAATGTCCTTGACTTGTTCAGCCTCCTTGAGTTCACGAATGCAAGCATTCATGCTCTTGGGCATGTCCTCATCTTTTGAGTTCTTCGGCTTGGGCACATACAACAGCTGAAGAGTTAGCTTGCCGACCCGATAAGGGGGACGGCGAACAACACCACCACGCTTGCTCTTCACACTGCTTCCGCCCGTGTTGTCAACAGCCCACTCGTTGAAGCAGGGAACATCGACAGTCAAGGGGCGACCATATGCTTGATTCTCGTAGTTGCTGAGGCAAACATAGGCACGAGCAAACGATCCATCCGAACCGACCAAGTCATGGAGGAGGTCCCAGGCAGTTGCCTGGTAGTTGCGCTTAGCAGCAGCCTGAGCCTCTTGCTGTTCTTGAAGAGCAATGCGATCAGCCTCCTCTTGTGCCTTGCGTTCTTGCTCCTTCCTCTTCTTGGGGGATGAGAGGAGATTGCGGAAGGCCGAGTGCGACTTCTTGTGGTTAACAATCTTGGTGGGTGGAGCAACAACCTGCTGCACCGCTGGAGGCTCAAGCTTTGTCTGCAGGGTGAGTTGGAACTCGAGATCGTCCAAGACGACAAGCTCAAATTCTTGACCAATCGGAGCCGACTGGGAAAGCTCCAGCCAAGATGTGGTAACACAGTGCAGGCCATTGTCGAGAGTCAGTTGGAAGTTGACGCGTTCCTTCTTCGGGAGAGGAAGATCGAGATCCTTGACACCAACCACCTTGACAAAGACTCTGCCGCGCTCCTCTCCATCTTCAAATTCATCAACAGCTCCCTGCTCAGCCACAGCGTCGAGGCCACCAGCGACAGCCGAGTCCTGGCCAGGTAGAGGCGGCGCGGGGCCCTCGGAGGTCCGCATTCGCCGACCCGATGCAGTTCGGATGCTCTTGCGTCGAGGCTTGCCATTCCATGGTTCTTTCGTCCAAGGCTTGCGCTCAGCACTGGCCTTGCGAGTTCCAGTTTTGGCAACTACGATCTCAGGTGCAGCATCAGTTCCAGTGGGTGGCTTTTCGTCACTGAATTGACGGCTGCTAGCAACAACAACCTTTTTGTTCTCACGCATCATGTATCCCTTCTGTTTGGAGATGTTAGTAAACTGATCCAATTGTACAAGTCGAAGGGCAACTTACCTTTTGTGCAGCAATGATGTGATCAAACTCCTTGTCGAGGCCGAAGCTGAGGTCATTGGAGTCATCGCCAAGGTTAAGATCAAGCATCCGTCTTTCTCTTGTCCCAATGCTGAGCTGTGAATCTTCATCATCGGCATGGCCCGGCTCGAGGCTCATAGACTGGCGTTTAGGGCTTCGCTCAGGGACGGGAGGAGCATAACCACCACTGACATGGCGACGCGTGGCGGCCATGTCAACCTCATCCGGGATGAGCGAAGGTCTAGTCTTCAACTTTCCACCTGCACCCCGAATAGTGGCTTCACGCTGAGGAACCTCAATATCTTCTTGTGGAAGGGGTGATTGAGCAATGGGGTGCCGAATGACGGAGTCTGGGGTACTAGGACCTTCCGATCCTGACTCGTCATTCTGACCATCTGCCGGTTCTGGAGTGACAGGTCGACGGAGAGCATCGCGCATAGCGTCCAGCTTAGGAGCCTTGTCAAGTGGGTTTGCAGGTGTGTCGACTGTAGGCTTCTCGGGGTCAAGGCTGAGATCCATGTCCTTGGTGTCAATGTTTGAAAACATGTCGTCTTGCTGAGCCTGCTTGTCCTCGACGACTGGTGAGGAGGGAGCAACAGTTGGTGTTGATGGGCCGGAAGAGTCGATGGTGCTCTGGGATGTGGGCTGCTCCTCAGGCTCGAGAGAATATTGACTAGTCTCATCCTCGTCGTCGGATGCTGGTGGCATCGGGTGGTGGATGACGGATGAGTCGCGCTCATAGTCTTCAAGTTGGGACATGGAGCTACCGTCAACGTCTGTTTCGTCATCATGGTCACCGTGTGGCACATCGCCATAGCTATATGCATCCACCACGCTGTCTGCCTCACTCTGAGAAACACCAGAGACTTGTCGTGGGTGTTCGTCAAAGTTGGAAGAGACTTCACGCGAGGGGATGGGGACATCGGGATCAAGATCAGCGAGGTCTCCATAGCTGCGCTCAGGGCTGTCATCATGGTCGAAGTTGCTGTATTCAACTTCGGAATCGTCGTCTTCACCATCCTCAAAGTTGCGGCTCTTGACACGACGGAGGATGGAATCGCGGGAGATGCGGGGCGCAGATCTCGGCTCATCAGCGGCCGTCTCGGAACGTTCAACGTCAGCGTCGGTGACCTCATCGTCAATATGAATGTTCTTCCTGTTCTGCATCTCCTGTGTTGGGGTGCTTGTATCGCGGTCGTTGTCAAAGTTCATCAAACGCAATCGGTCTTCAAGCGACATGGAAACTTCGCGCATGTTGAGGAGATCGTTCTTGGAGATACCAGCGGCTTGGGGAAGCTGAGGGAGAGACCGCCGCCTGTCGTTGATTCGCTCAGCAGCATTAGACAAACCAATGCTCGAGTCACGCCGCCGACTGCCCTCTTGGGCTGGGAAGCCGGGAAGAGGAGGAAGTGGTCTGGCGTCGCTATCAGAGGCGGTTGAGCCCAGGCGGGCTTGGTTCCTTTGACCATTGGGGTTTGCAGAGGGCATGGGACTGTTGTCGCGACCATCGAAAACATCGTCGTAGGTGTCAGTTAGTGAAGTGTTTGCAGCATCTGGGCTCATGTGGCGCCAATCCTCAGGAAGGACTACGGGTGTCTTCTCGGTGTCCTCGAGGGAAGCATCGAAGCTGTCGTCCTGGTCAAAGCTCAGCTCCTCCTCTGTCTCGTCTTCTTCGGAATCGTAGCTGCCGTCTCGCGATGCTGTCGTCACGGAAGGATCAGGTGTGACCATCTCAAATTCTGTGATCTGGGGAGGCCTAGTGTCGAAGGTCACACTCTTAGCATGGCGACGCAGGGGGCGGGGCGTCTGTTGCACCATGTCTTCTTCGTCGGAGAAGACGGCGCTGGAGTCGGGGTTATATTGTGGTGAGTTGAAGCGGCCGTTGCTGACAAGCGACGACTTTGTGGGGGACGCGCGACCTTCTGAGGGCGACGACTTTGAGGGTGAAGAGAAGGACGACTGTGTGGGTAGCTTGGCGGGGGAAGTCTTGGAGGGACTGAGGATGGGAATCCTGGTCGGGCCATTGCTGCTGCTGCTGTTGTTGTTGTTCTCATCGCGCATGCCCTGCATACCATGACCGCCATATGCGTTGCCCTGTACGACGGTGTTTAGCGGGCGACCGGCGGCGAGGGGGCGGTCGAGTGGCTGGACGAGGGTGGGGTCGTATTCGTTCTTTTGCTCGCGGGCGAACATGCTGCTGTTCTTGACACGTGACTGCTTCTTCAGGTTCTCAATCGAGTTGCGCTTGGGGGAGAGCGGTGTGCTGGCCTCGCAGTCGTTCTCTGACGTGTCGAAACGGCTCTTGGGCGACGTTGTCTGCTCCTTCCAGAAAAGACGGGGGCTGTGAGTAAAGGGCGACGAGTCGCGGTAGGGCGAGCTCTCCTTGGAGATGAGCATCTTCTGGAAGGGGGCGTGTCAGTTGCTTTTGGTGCTGATGGAGCGGCCATGTGCACGAACCTTTGTTGACTGGTTCCAGCTGGGCGAGTTCCTGCGGTGCTCATGGGGGCTGATCTCCGACAGCGGCCGGCCACTGCCCTTGGGGGACGAAGTGGAGGGCGTCTTGGTGATGCGCAGCGGCGACACCTGGGTGCCATTGCTGTCAGCATCGCAGTCGCAGTCGCCATGGCCGTCACGCGACCGACAGGAGCGTCGTGGTGGAGGGGGAATGGAGTGCTTACCGCTTCGTTGCGCGACATGTCTGTCGCAATGTGCTAGGCGAGAGTGCAAACAAAGAAATCCTCCTTTGTTGTTTGTCTAGGGCGGCGGGATGGATGCCGTCACTGGGCAATCTCCGTCGAGGAGTTGGGCGCGCACTGGCAGGCCTAGTGTAGTGTAGGCAGTGAGTGCAGGGCAGCGTGTGCGCTGATGAAGCCTGAAGCAAAGCAAGTGAAGGACACACACGCACACAGGCACACACGGAGCGCGGAGGCTATTGTGCAATGAAAAGGCTATCGAGGACGAGTGTGTGTGTGGATGCGTGCGGTGTGAATTGGATTGGGGCCGTGGGCGCTATCTAAGGTGTTGATAGCCGGGGTAGACGGGTGTTGGGTGGTGTTGCTGAGGTAACGAGCCGCATGTGGCTGGAGCCCACCCGCCAGTCCATGGCACGCTGGCAGCAATGGCAGCCCTCTGCGCCTAGCGCCCACTTGTATCGCGACATCGCCCGTGCCGCCGCCCGACGTCACCTCGTCTGCCCGTTTGGGAAAAAAATTGCCCTCTCCCCCCCCAAAAAATAAACCGCCCAAACCAACGGACGATGCTGCCACGGCTGTCCGCTCCGTGTCCGCTCTGCGGCCCACGGACGCTGCTGGACCTTTCGCCATTGCGCCGCCAGTCATTATCACTGCCGCACCACCCACGCCTGTATGCCACCTACCACGACCGCCGCCAGTCGTCGTCGCTGTCGCCGTCCAGGGCCCCGAGACCCTCGCGCATGGTGCTGTCGGAACATGTCGCCCGCACATCAGACATCAAGCCCAAGAAGACGGCCGATGCCTTCTCCTACCTGAACCGCACACAAGCGCCGCCGGGCCTGCAACGGATGCGCGACCAGAGAGAGGCACGTGGGCGTCCGTCGCCGCCCACAGGACGCAGCCAGGGCAGGGCCAGGCCAAGGGCAGAGCCCTTCCACGCCCTCAAGATGCAGAGCTCGCTGCACCGGGTGCCCTACAGCGACCGCACCGCCATCAAGCGCAACATGGACCAGTACGACTCCTTCGACAAGTTCCCCCTCGCCGAGCCCGTCCTGCGCGCCGTCAACGATGCGTTGCCCGGCCTCGAGTACCGCAATCCCACACCGGCACAGGCTGTCGCCATACCCGCCCTGCTCGGCATGCAGAAGGCTGTGCGCGCCAAAGTAAAGACGAAGAAGACAGGCCCCGACACCTTCTTGCTCGCAGCCGAGACGGGGTCTGGAAAGACACTGGCATACCTTCTCCCTACCCTGGACGCCATCAAGCAGGAAGAGATGCGCGAAAAGGACGAGGCCGAGCAACAGGCAACCAAGGCGGCTCAAGAGGCTGCTGCGACTGCCAAAGAGCACGATAAGCGAACCGACATGTTCGCTGCCGAGGAGCCAGAGATCAACAAGGCCGTTGACCCAGCCCGCCCACGGGCCATCATCCTCGTTCCCTCCGCCGAACTGGTTGCACAGGTCGGCGCCGTCGCAAAGTCGCTCTCGCACACTATCAAGTTCCGTGCCGCGCCCATATCTGCCAAGTTATCTGCTACTGTCATCCGCAACCAGCTCTTCAACCCCAACGGCGTCGATGTTGTCATCAGTACCCCGCCGCTCCTCGCCAGCATTGCCCAAAGCAACCCCAACATCCTTGCCCGCGTTACCCATCTCATCTGCGACGAAGCAGACTCCCTTTTCGACCGCTCTTTCAAGGAGACTACTACCGAGATCCTCGAGCGGGCCACTCCATCTCTCAAGAAGCTTATTCTATGCTCGGCCACCATTCCCAAGTACCTCGACAAATACCTTGCACAGAGGTTTCCAGACATGCACCGCCTTGTCACCCCAAACTTGCACGCCATTCCTCGCAGGGTGCAGTTGGGTGTCGTGGACGTAAACAAGGATCCCTACCGCGGTAACAAGCTACTCGCTTGTGCAGACACGATATGGCAAATTGGCAAAGCATCTGCTGACTATGATCCCACCGAGGGCAAGGAAGCAATACCAACAAAACGCATCTTGGTTTTTGTCAACGAGCGTGAGGATACTGAAGAGGTGGCACAGTACCTTGTCAAAAAGGGCGTTGATGCTCTGGCCTTCCACCGTGACACAGACCCTTCGCGCCAAGCAAAGATTCTCAAATCTTTTACTAGCGATTCTTCACTCGGCACTTCGCCAGCGACTCAAGATGAAGCACCCATCAACTCGACGCTGGCGAACAAACGCACTCTTCCCAACACCAAGGTCATTGTCACAACTGATCTTGGCTCACGAGGTATTGACACCGTGTCTGTTCGACACGTCATCCTCTTTGATGTTCCCCACACCACCATTGATTTTATCCACCGCCTTGGCCGCACAGGCCGAATGGGCAGACGTGGAAGAGGTATTGTACTGCTCGGGCCAGGTGACCGTGCAGATGTTGTACGAGAAGTCCGAGAGGCCATGTTCAGGGGCGAAGCGCTTATTTGAGCGGCAACCCCTTTGTGTACGATTATGGAGAAGACCAAAAGTTCTGTATATATAGTTAGACATACCCGAGTAGACTTGTGGCTGGCCTCGTCACGATTCGAGGCTTTGCTGTAGCATCATCCCACTGACGCCATTTTACGATCAAAATAGACATGAATGACAATGACAGATGACCAAATCCCATGTACTTACTCTTCAGGGTTGCATCCTTCCCATCTACTTCGAAAGCTGTATCTCTGCTTCTTGTTGCCAAGAAGAAAGCACCACACTATAAACTCCACATGTATCGATCCATCTCCGGGTATGTCGGTCGATTTATTCACCCCTGCAGACTGTCTGATCTCTCAGACTGGAACCGTAAGCAATGCCATGTCTAGGGAGATATCGACGCTTCTGCATGTCTACCAGTGTTTCACGGATTGCAGCTGAACTCGCTACCGGTCACGGCATTGGCCTGGCCGTAGCCTGGGTCGTCGCATATTGAACCGACCAGATCCAAACAAACAGCGGTAGGCGCCTCGGTGGATCCAATCTTGATGATAATGACAACACGACAGTACCCGTTGCCCAAACTACAGCTTACATGCCCGGGAGCTGCGTAAACAAGACTGATTGTTTGTGTACATGTATGTTTCACAAACATTTACATCCCGGTATCATCCCTGCTGCCACCCAAGTAATTACCTAACCGACCTTGTTCGCTTCAATCAGCCCGCCGACAGCCCGCTAGCGTTTTTGTCGACCAAACCTCAACCTCCCTGTCACACGTTGTGAGTTATTACGGCTGTGACATGCAAACTACGTTTGACAAATCCCTGGACCGTCTTGGATGCATTACCGTCACCTGGGCTACCGACGCCTCATATGCAGCAACTAAACCGACGTCGCTGCTAACAATAGCCCCGCCGTATCTCGCCTATCTCAGATCTAGTTCTGAAATCACATGCTTGAGGTGAAGCCTGCAGGATACGTATGTATCATCACGCTACACGAAATGAGCTAACGTCCGGCTGGACTAGACCTGCAGAAATAACGATAATGGCCTTGTATCAATAACATCCATCCACATTCAGGTTACTCACAGCCCTCAAAACAGGTTCTCGCAATACGGTGCCGGTTTCGGATTAGCACTGCATCTGTGCGGTAATTTGCTGGCATGTAAGTATCAACACCATGTTTTGCCAAGCAACAATCGATCACATCTGACATGCTCCTATCCATCTTCCTTTTCTTTCCTAGAAACGATTTCACGTCCTAGGAGAAGATGAATAGCGTTAAAGTGACATGCGAATGCTTAGAGACGTGTTACAGCACCATAGAAACACTGACCTACCTAGCCACAACACTCCAATTTCACATGACATTTCAGTACGAGAACCCCTTGATCCCGTATCTCGACAACTGCAAAATATACATTCATGCATACTACTCCATCCATAGGCCCATCGTGCACCCATACCTACGCGTAAGCTGACATGGACACTGCCGAGACTGACCTTGGGACCAATGGAATCGACATGTCGCCAGAGTCCGACTTAGAATAGTAGTACATCTGCAAAATAGCATACGTGTAGCTCCACTTCATCATCTGTCGTGAAATTGATGGATACCAATCATCTGAAAATGTCACTAAGGTAGTGTCTCGGTAGCTCAGTGGTATTGCAGACGACTATGTCGTACACATGGTAGGGGTTGTAAACAAACTATGTAAACACGTGTTTTTGAAGTGTGGATCAGAGGGTCTGGCGTAACAGTCTATGTATTGTAGCCTATGACCGTAAATGTATCCTCTCAAAACAGTATCAAAAGAGTAAGATTGTATAGGTATCTCAAGCTCTTAACCATATTGCGAGAGCGAATGGCAATTCACACCATGTGTGTAAGTAAGCTGTCAATTAATCACACCTATCTGCGAGCCTTTGTCCGATGCAAAAGACTAAAGTAATATTCTTTGTCGAATCTTGACAATGGCAAAAGTTCATCCTGAGTTGGTTTCTGATCAAGGAAAATACAAGTTGCAATGGCATATTGTCTGAGTGATCCAAAATCTGATACGTTCTGTACGAACACATTGTGGGTTATAGAAGGAATGTAAAGATACTTCTTCACGTAGTATTTGAAATGTATCATCCAATACTCAGCGTATCATTCTCATTCCTCGTCCAAAAACACAATGCAAGAAATTACTACTGCGTCTAGCCAAGGACGGCGGCCATATTTCCACAGTTTCCGCGGCCCGTCGTCTAGCTACAACATACCCGCATTGCGTAGACGAATAACTCTGATGCTTGGCTCGGTATCAGGGGTTGCTTGTTGCGTCATCAGGCCCTGCATCATGTAAGGCTGCTTATACATCACCGTGTACAATGATAGCCATCGGCTTAGCAAGCGACGCATGTTGGGGTTCCGGACTCCCGAACTGACCCCCACTTGCCAAATAATGTACCCAACGCCATATATGGCATTTCTTACAACACCCAACACGCCTGGTATATCAGCAGTCATGTCGCTGCTCCGGAGAACAGCAGCACTTCGCACACGACCACATATCCCACCATGAGCTCCCCAAAACCAGTCCTCATTGCTGGCGCTGGCCTTGCCTCGCTTCTCCTTGCCCGCTCGCTGCACCGTTTCAAGATTCCATTTCTCGTCTTTGAGCGCGACGCGTCTATTGTTTTTCGAGCACAGGGTTATCGCCTGCGCCTATCCAGCCAAGGACTCGATGCAATAGAAAATGTCCTTGGCCCCGAGGGATTTCAGAAATTCTACGACAAGTGCGGCAAGACTGGCGGCGCGGGATTTGCCGTCATCGACCCATTGACGGGCGAGACAGGGACAGGAGGACAGCCACCTGTCAGCAGCAACGGGCCGTTGACTAGCAGAGATGGCAAGATTGTGGGCATCTCGCGAGGCGATATGCGTACGCTCTTTCTAGAGGGCCTCGAACACAATGTACGATGGAGCCATCGGATTGTAGGCTATGAGAAGACGGACGGCGGGGTGCGCCTTGTTTTTGCAGACGGAAGCAAGAGTGAAGAGGGCTCCATGTTGGTGGGTGGTGAGGGCGTCAAGAGTGCAGTCGCAGGCCAACTATCGAATGGCACCATCAAGGTCTACGACTTGGGCTCGCGAGGAATACACGGTCAGGCACCCACGGCCGCTTTCAAAGGCCTGGGCGAGGGCGTCTTTGTCGTCAATGACAGTGATTCACAACCGAATGGTGGCAAGGTCTTCCTAATCACCAACGTCCGTGCTGGCGATTTGGACAATCCAGACATCGAGTTTGGCTGGACCATGGGCGGCTCACCAGGCGTCATTGATGCACCCAACGACAACTACACCATCACTGGCCCACCAGCGGCAACAATCGCAAAGTCGCTTACCTCGTACTGGCACGCGCGCCTGAAGCCGCTCATTGACAATATGAACGAGGCCGAGGCTGCCTTTTGGAAAATCACTTGTTCTTCGCCAGACGGCGTGCCTGCATGGCCTAACGAGCCTCGAGTGACTGTCATTGGCGACGCTGTGCATGCGATGACGCCAGCAGGTGGTAACGGCGCGAATACGGCGATGCGCGACTCGGCTTTGCTGGGTCGATTGATGGCAGAGGCGTGGGAGCGTGGCGACGGCGATAATTGGGAGGGCGTGACAGTAGCCTACGAAAAGGAGATGCGTGTCTATGCAACTGAGGCAGTCCAGGCCAGCTATAGCTCGGCCGTAGCACAGTTTGGAGCGAATACTGACCTGGAAAATGCGCCTACCATTAATGAGTACGTGGCCCCCAACTGAAGTGGGACGTGATAGCTTCAATAAAGACAGCAGAAACGCCAGATTTTACGAGCCCTTGTTTCGTTCAAACACTGCCATGGCCAATATGTGACGGGCTCCAACTTGACCAAGATGGTTGCAGCACAGTACCCCCGGCTAGTACTTGGATATGCTTCCAGCAGCGCGGTGTAAGCGACAACTGAGCAAGTGGCGTGACGGACACCGACAGAAAAGCAGGTGGAGCAAAGCAGGTGGAGCAAAGCAGCGTAGAAGAGTCGAGATTTGGCGCGAACATAAGAGCTCTATGTGATCGGGTAGACGGCGATCCAAGAGATAAGGAAATAAGTAGTTTATCGATCTTTCTAGTCTTCAAGACTAATCGGGAAATAACAGTTGGATGGTTTGTTTACTCGAGAATGAACAGTAAGAGCTACTGGAATCAGAGGTGTATAGTTAACTCTTTTCTCTTTTTCTACCTATCTTCTTTTTCTGTAAGATGTCCTCTAAGAAACGCAAAATGTGTAAGGGTTAACCTCTTGCGTGGGATTACTCCACCTCTACTATATCATATGTGTGCTGATGGTGTGGTTTTAATAGCGTGTTCGTCGCATGAGCAGCCCCCCACCCTGCCACTCCAGTCACGCCGGCCTAATCCGCCGGCCTCCCCCGTCCTTCAATCCGACAATCAACTCCTGGTCTTATCTGCTCCCAGAGCCGCCGTTGCGACGTTTTGGGGATCGATACAACCAGGAGCACCCGTTGGCGTTATCACCAATGCTAACCTCCCCCCGGTCGTCCGTAGACTTACGGACGGGGACCTTGCTTTCTCGGGCTAACAGTTACCATTCGGCCATTGTTCAGCTCTTTTTCGCAGGACGAGGAAGCAAGGCGTAGTCACCGAATCAGTGGTGCTACGGGAAGGTGGCGAAAACAACGATGCGCCACGGGTCACAGGATTGGAGGGGCTCAATGTTGCTCGCAGCAGTACGAAGACCAAAGTCTACGCCTATCATATCGCTGCGGCACATCGAGCTTACACCCAGCCGGAATCTGGCCTCACTGAGGATCTCTTGCGGTCGGTCGCCAAAGACAAGACCCACCAACCTTCCACCACGGAACCCCTTACTGTTATGCACCTTTGTGGAAACAAGTGGTGTGTGGAAGGTTCCCATTTGGTGGTCGGCCGTAAGAAATACAACGACCAGCAGACTGCATGTCACCGCGGTTTACAGTCGGCGTTGTCATCGGATGAGGTCGCCCAGATTCAGGCTGCTTACTGTCGACACTCCGTTAAGTGTTGGACAGTAGTCTACGGAGGTGACTACAGCAGTGTAGGGGGGCATGAGTGGGAGTGAGGCAGTATGTGCACAATAAGAAGAGAAGCAAATTTGCTCCATTACATTGACTGTGCGGCATGTCTAGCTTTGCGCGAAGGATGGGCCTAACGAAGACCAGATCCGATAGTCGCCATCCGCCACCAAAACACACGACTCATGCACCCTTTCGTCCCCACTTCTCCACTCGGTCCACCCCCGGTTTACCCCGACTTTAAGAACCGGGTCAGTCCACCATGGTTTCTCCTCTCGCGCGAGATTCCCGATGGATGCACACGCCTCACCACGACCGCGCAAACGTCGTGCTATCAATGCCTGTGTCAATTGCCGGACGTCCAAGGTGCGATGCGACGGAAACCGCCCCTGTCAACGTTGCGAAAGGAATAGTGCTTCCTGCCAGTACTTTGACGCAGTCAAGGACGAGAATGTACTCCGTATCGAGAAGTTGGAAGCCGACATGGCTGCACTGCGCGAGCTGCTCGGCACCAGGGAGACACCCGGTCCAAGGACCAGCGTGAGTGACGGCTCTTACATGCATTAGTGATGATGCTTCTCGAACAAGTCCCGGCCCACCAGACAGGTGCCGGCATGACTGCAAGACAGTCCAAACCCCACGTGGCTGGAGGGATAAAGACATGTCGCTAACTCGCTTCCCAATGCAGTCACACATGGATAACGCAAGCGTGACTGTTGCAGAAGTCACACCTCGTTCCCCGGCCGGGCACAACGCAATTGGCAGTGCCGTTGATGCTGGCTTCATCACTTGGGATCAAGCTGCTCACTGGTACCAGAGGTAGGCAGGCCCCTCAATCCTTTGCTCCCCCCACTCATAATGCTGACCCTCGTCGAGCTTTTTCTCCGGCAGTGTAAGCCATGGCTCTATTCGCAACCACATGACACTAAGCAGCATAGCAATACCTTGTCCCAATATTCTGCGAGAGATATGACACCATCACTTCTGTATCCTCACGGAGTGCCGTCCTCTTCGATGCCATAGTCAGCATCGGTTGTCGTGCTGAAGAAGGTTTTAATGCAACCATCTACCGCCAGCTCCAATCCAGGGTTCGCGATCACATTACAAACTTGCTCATCAACAAGAGTATACCCAGTATAGAGGACATCCAGGCCATTGCCCTGGTAGCTGCCTACTCTGAAAATGGTTTTTTCTTGATTGCAACGGCCCTTCGCTTTGCCATACAGCTTGACCTGCCTCGGGTCGTCGATCAACTCATTGCAAAAGGCCAAATACGTTCTGGAGTCGTCAGCAATGACGAGCAAGAACTGTACCGTCTTTCACGCGTCTGGCATGGCATTTGCAATCTCGAACTCTTGTAAGCCCTATTCCGGTCATATCTAACGTTGACTGTCTGACGCACCGCAGTTTCTCGCTAGACGGAGGAAAGTTACCGGGATTGAATTTCCATACCTCCCCTAGGAAAATCCGAAGCCTTCTCCAACACCCTGAACATACATCAGTCGACATTCGGCTACTCTCCCAGGTAGAACTCAACCTGATTCGTGCAGAAGCATATACCAAGATCATGCGACGGGACACGGATGAATTTCTTCTCCAAGAAAACGAAAACAAAGTCCGGAGTACAGTAGACGAAGCTTGTGTAGAGTTGACGCTCTGGCTGGATGAATGGACAAACATCATCTTGGCAGAACCCGTGCCACATCGACGAGCAATGGCGTTACAAAACCTCCACATCCAGCGTGAATGGGCCATGATGACACTGTACTTGAAGGCTGTGACATCATCTGGCGTGGAAAATATTGCATTCATGACCGACTTCCAGAAAAACTTTATACGCAGAGCTAAAGACGCAGCAAGTCGACATCTACATTACATGCTGCAATCCTATACATCGACGCCAGATTCTTCGCCGGCGTCCTCAACACACACAATTGGCTCGACCTATCTCAGCACATTCCGGTGGGCTCTGGATTACGTATGGGCAAAGTGCGCAGTCTCCGTTTTGCTCGTACTCAAATTGGCCATTCTCCTCCGCGATCCTGCCGCGTCCGTCATGGCACTTCTCCGCGACGCTCATAGGGTACTTGAAGAGCTCAAGACTGTGACGGTAGGCCATATTGCATACTTCCAAATACTTCAAACAAGTATTGAGAAATGCGAGGCTGCATTGCGAGAGTACTCTGTTGAACAGAATCATGCTACACAGTCGTCACCTGCGTCTGGGACAGATGGTGGTGCTGCTGAAACAGAGTTTCAGGGCTATGTGCCCCGAGAATTCGTATTCGAGTGGGACTTTCCCGGGCTCAATCTTAAACACATGCCTTTAGGGTGGCAGGATCTATTCGTCAACATTGACAGTCTCTTCTGATTTGACACTCCAGCTGGTATCTGACTATAGACCAAAGAACGATCATCAGAACATGTAACTATTGGTAAATTTATCTCTTTTTAATCATGGTAGAAATATCTATAGATAATCATGTGCAACTACTCGTCTTAGTAGATGTAAATGAAATCCTCGTTCTTGAGGTCAGTCACATCGTCAAAGGCCTTGTCGCCCACCCCGCTTGCCTCGTGCTCGGCTTCTTCGGCGCTCCCTTCAACATCGTTTCCCATGCTTGTGTCGACAACAACGGCCGACTTGCCCATACTCTCTCGTGTTGCGGCATGCTTGCGATTCAACAATTTGATCCATAGCATTGCTACCAAGATCAAAACAATGATGAGGATAAAGAGGGCAAGACACACGCGCAGACCGCGCTTGTAGTACGGCTTTTCAGACGGCTTGAAGATCTGAGGCCCAACGATGTTTCCTGCACTGGCACCAATAAATAGTATGCTGGTAGTGACTTTGCGCTTGGTGTCTCCACCGGTGTTTTGGCCTGACCAGGAATAGATGAGTGGCGAGATACCCGGATAAAATGATGTCATATAGTACCCAAAGAGCAAAAGGCCGCGGTTTGAAGGACCGCGTCCAACGACCATGAGGATGACGATGCCGACAATGGGTGGAATACATAGCAGGATGAGGACAGGCGACTTCTTCTTGAGCCATGTTGCTAGCCAAGCACCGCCAACCGTCGCGACGATTTGCACAACGCCAAAGGGCATGTTGAACAAGATGGTCTCAAACTTTCCGAACCCGAAACCTTGAATAATCAATGGACCAAAGGCGGAGATGCCGCCACTCGGAATACTGATGGCGGTCAACATGGAAAACCAGAGCCATGTCTTGATGTCCAGGAATGCCTCGAACACATGGTCCCACTTCCAAACTCGAGATGCAACGCCCATCTGGTTCATACGCAGACGCTCAACCGCGATGAGCCTTTCGTGCTCGGTCAAGAATTTTGCCTCCATGGGAGAGTCGGGCATGAAGAACCAAACGAACATCGACACCACAACGGTGAGGAGTCCACAAAACAGGAAGATAATCTGGTACGAGTGTAGAAGATTCGAGTTGATGTGTCCGAGACCATAGCATAGCAGACTGCCAAGAATGTTGACAATGCCCAGCATGGCATACCAGGCCGCATTTCGGTTAGTTTGTTCGCCGCGCTTGTACCACATTTGGACTACAGCGATAAATGCGGGAGCTGGGAGTGATATTAGTAAATGAAGATGAAAGGACGACGCGTTTTGGTATATATGGAGTGGAAGCTTACCGACTGCAGCTTCAAAAGCGCCCAAAAGAAACCGTGTCGCCATGAGTCCCTCAAAATTCTTTGCACCTGCCATACCGCAAAGGATGCATCCCCATGTGAAGACCATGGCGCCAATGAATTTTCCCATTCTCATCTTGACGAGCAAGAAGGCGACGAGCGGCTGTGCCACCAATTGGGCAATGTAAACGATACTTCCCAGCCAGGAATACTGCTGCGACTTTGGATCGAGATTTGCATCTTCGATGAGTCCAAAGACGGATGCGTATGAGAGCGTGGTCTTGTCGAGGGACTGGAGGAAATAAACGCTGAGCAGAATGGGCAGAATGATGAGATCAATCTTCTTCAGCACACGCTTGTTTTCCTCCGACGTCACCACAATACGTTCGTTCGAGGCGAGCAGCTCAGCGGCCTTGTCTTTTCCTTTGCGGCTCTTCTCGTTCGTGGGCTTGTGAATAGATTCTGTAGTTTCAACATTGGATTTGACACCGGCGTCTGCCGCCGCCGATGGAGTAGTCGCGGCCATGTCGGGCTTGGGAGACATGATGAAAGCAAACAAGATAGCGCCCTGAATTACTGTTGGCTGTTTTTGCTGTCGATCTGCGCAACAACACTTATATCATTTTTCCCCACGGGGACCCCATATGGGAATCTTGTCTGATTCCAGACTAGTGGAGCGCACGTGTCGGCCGAAGATGCCGGCCTAACAGGCCTTGTGACAGACCTACTCCATTCCTCTCGGCGACTAGAAATGGGGCTTTCGGTCAAATGCCGACCTCAACCCTTGCTATAAATTCCGAGTCACTGTATAGCCAGTAGTCGAAAACAGCATACCGCTGGTTGATGCCCCCTTTTGTTTCGTCATGCCCATGCTTGAGCACGTTCCTGCCGGCTATCAAGCCGGCGCTGCCATGGCAACATCAAATGCGAGCGTCGAATTACAGTCAAATGTAGGAGACTTCAAATTCACTTTCGATGCAATACGGCCGGGACTGTTTCGCACAACATTTACCTCGCCGAAACATTTGCTGCCACCCCATCGAGCAGCCCCAGTACCCAACAAGACTGTGGACAACTCCAACGCCACAGTCTTGTCATCTGGTGCGGCTGCAAAGAGCTTTCAAGTCGATGGTGTCACGGCTCAAGTTGACTGGGAAAGCGGACTTCCGCTTGTCTCCCTGACTCTTTCTGGTCAACAGAAACCAATCCATGCCGACCTTCCCAATCGATCGTATGCTGCCGATGGGCCTGGCATTTCTCATTACACCAAGTACAATCATGGCACACTCCATCTTGGACTTGGCGAGAAGCCAGCACCCATGGATCTTTCAAACCGCCACTTTGTGCTATCAGCAACCGACTCTTTCGGTTACGATGTGTACCGGACGGATCCGCTGTACAAGCACATTCCACTTCTGATCAATGCTACGCCAGAAGGATGTGTCGGCATCTTCTCCACATCACATGCACGTGGGATTTACTCGGTGGGCTCGGAAATGGATGGTATGTGGGGTCGTTTCAAAGTCTACCGCCAGGACTACGGGGGCCTCGAAGAGTATCTACTTGTAGGCAAGACACTACCAGACATTGTTCGCATCTACGCGGATCTTGTTGGATACCCTCTTCTGGTGCCGCGATGGGCATTTGGCTATCTGGCTGGCGGAATGAAATACTCCATGACGGACGACCCTCCTGCGAGCCAAAGCATGATGGAGTTTGCGAGAAAGCTGAAAGAGCATGACATTCCATGCTCGGGTATGCAAATGTCTTCTGGATACACGATTGCAGAGACCGAGCCCAAGACACGAAATGTCTTCACGTGGAATAGGCATCGGTTTCCAGATCCCAAAGGCTGGATTGATGCATACCACAAAGAAGGAATTCGACTCATCGCAAACGTCAAGCCGTATGTGCTGGGAAGCCACCCTGAGTATCAAAAGCTCAAGGAGGCCAATGCCTTCTTCACCGACTCACTGACAACGGCGCCGGCTGAAGCTCGTCTTTGGAGCGCTGGAGGTGGCGAAAGCGGTATTGGTGGCCATATTGATTTTACATCAAAAGCTGGTTACCAATGGTGGTATGAAGGCATTCGCGAACTGAAGCGAATAGGGATTGATTGCATCTGGAATGATAACAACGAGTACACCATCCCTCACGACGGGTGGCAATGCGAACTGAGCGAGCCTTCGGTTAGCCGAGAGCCGAAGAACGACAAGTATGGCCAAGAGATCGGGTTCTGGGGACGAGCACTGAATACCGAGCTCATGGGCAAATCCTCTCACGATGCTTCGCTGGAGGTTGAACCGGAACAGCGTCCTTTTATCTTGACCCGTAGTGCCACAGCCGGGACATTGCGATACTGCGCCAGTGCCTGGAGCGGCGACAACGTGACCTCCTGGCCCGGCATGAAGGGTGCCAATGCTCTTTCCCTGACTGCCGGCATCTGTCTGATGCAATGTTACGGCCATGACATTGGTGGTTTTGAAGGCCCTCAACCATCGCCCGAACTGCTCGTTCGATGGTGCCAACAAGGCATCTACAGTCCTCGCTTCGCAATCAACTGTTTCAAGACTGGCAACGACAACAGCGTAGGTGATGTAATTGAGCCTTGGATGTACCCCGAGACGACGGCATTGGTCAGAGACACCATCAAACGTCGCTACGAAATGATTCCATACCTATACTCACTTGCCCTGCATTCACACATGACGGCAACGCCTCCACAGCGATGGACTGGCTGGGGGTACGAGTCGGATCCCGAGATCTGGAACAACAAGGTCTTGACAGACGGCGAGACACAGTATTGGCTTGGCGATGCACTGCTGGTAGGCGGCGTTTTCGAAGCTAATGCCGAGAGCGCCAAGATGTATCTTCCCAAAGACGCTTCGGACTCCAGTGCTGAGTTCCTCGATCTCAACAATGAGCCCCAGACATACTACAAGGCCGGGCAGTGGGTTGATATCCGAGCAAAGTGGACCGAAAGCATCCCTGTACTGGCAAAGGTTGGATCGGCGATTCCTGTCGGGAGGGCAGAGCAGGTGCTCTCGGTAGGGGAGAAGAGTAACCCTGCGAACCTTGCCCGCGACGATTACCGTGCTGTCGAGGTGTTCCCGCCAAAGGCTTCATCAAACGGCAAAGTCTACACAACGACTTGGTACGAAGACGACGGTGTTTCACCGCCTCCCGCGAAGATTTCAGTATTTGTCGTCAACTATGAGGCGTCGGAAAGCGACGTCTCGGTCAGCTATGAGGAGAAGTTGCAGCAAGGGTTCGAGCCAGCATGGTCGGCATTGAACATTATCCTGCCCCGAGGAGATACGAGAAGTGTGTCGTTCAACGGGAACAAGGCTGAAAAGGTGGACACTGATGCAAAGGGGAGGACCAGGTGGAAGGGTGTGATTGAAAGGAGTGGCAAATAATCTATGACTGCGCTGATGAACTTGCTAGAATAAGAAAACATTAGACCTAGAGCCTTCAATACGATTTGATGATGTCCAACGGCATAGATGTTTCATATGAAATTGAGAAAATGCGAAGTTTCAAACCAAGAGACCTTCTTTATACGATGGAGTGAGAATTATATTCAGAAACAGTGTGATTGTTAGCTATTAAGGAAATCAAGCTTCATGTCGAGAGCTGGATCTGACTCTCGAAGCGCAATACTATAATTATATAAATAGGATGATGTTGTAATTACGCTCTACTAGATAGGAAGTTCTTTTGGCTTAAAATACAGACGTGAAATGCGAAGGAGCTTCAGTAATAGTAGAAATCGAGCAGGCCGATACTGACACGGAATGAAGGAGATTTTTGGCAGATTACGTCTCCGAACGTATATATAAAAGCTGAGTTCGAGCGGGACGAGACTTACAAGGGACGCAAGAAAGTTTCGGCAGATGATATCTCCGGACGTGTATATAAAAGCTATGATGGAGCTCTGTTTAAGCTTAACAGCCAATTCATTGCTCTTGTTAATACAGTTACATTATCTAAGCTTATCTGCTCTTGCATAGAAGGCTGTCTACACGCCCTTTCAAGCTCAACAAGCTACAATCTACCCTTCATATTGCCTGCTGCCACACAACGCGGAGATAATAGCTGTCAAGACGCACAATGCAGTTGCTATCTACCATCGCCCCTCTTACTGTCTCGTGGACCGTATGCACTATTGCAAACCCTCTTCCCGCCCACGACGCCGTATATGGACGTGAGTCTGGTTCTTTACCCGAGTTTTTCCATGCGACGACATTATCGATACTGATATAGACTCTAGAGCTTTGCGAACCACTTAATGGCAATTTTTGTAATGCATGTTCGGGCCCATGTCAACTGTATTGCCTTGGCAGAAGAACCGACAACGGGATGAATTACTGCACACACGCTTTTTCATCTGAGGGTTGTGCGCCGTGTATTTGGTAGCGCTCCTGAGAGACGTGCATAGAAAGCGCAAATTTTACAAAACAGTCAAAAGTATTCCTCGCACATTCAATGTTAGCAAGCGGAAGAGTTTTTCCTAGCGTTAGTTGGCTGATTGTGGGTGCGTTCGCCTGGAAGTGGTTGATAAATTTAAAACCTCGTCACTACTATCCGAAGTAGCTTACCGGAATCAATATGACCGTCAATTCCGTCTACGATACGCACACCACATATCATCTGAGTCAACTCTGCTTACGGCTTACTGTGTATGACGCAAACATCGACAGAGCTATGCGGGACGTGGGAGAAAGTCTGCGCGAACGGAGGGCCAAACTTAATAAAGAGCTCAACATACACATAACCACAGCCACCCACCAGGATCAGAGCAAGGATAGCGGTAACACTAGGTCAGGCTAGGCATTAGTGAAAGAGATGCTTCGTGGTTGTCAGCTTGGCTAGAATTGCATCGTTCTTTTTGCTGCCGTTGAAGTCTTGATTTTGATTTTCTGGTATGTGTCCCGCAAATACAATACACGTTGGTAGGTAGTTGGTCTAGGCATGATAGTATGGGCTAGTAGAATGAGAGTAGACTCACTAACCATTGATGAATTAGTATCTTACCGTAGTATTAATAAAAGGTTTATAGGCTTCAGAAAGGAGGATGATATTGTGTAGACTAGTAGCAGTGTTACGGGGGAACGTGATTCAATTTAGAGTTGAATATATAGCTATCATTCCTTCCTCTTAAGTGGCTATGACTTAATTGCGGCCTTGGTAGCTTCTAAAGCGCCAACAACTGCGAAACATATCATGGGCGTAACTGCATAGCTGATCTAGAGATTGGTTAAATGGGGGTTTCTCTTTGGGTTGATGGTGGCGATGTTGCTTACGGTGAGGAATTTTGCAACCGTCATTTTCATGGACTCGGCAGCACCCGTTACATCACACAAGGCAACCAGGATCATGGCTGGTGGCCCTGTGGGCATCAGCATCATGGAAAACCAGAGCATAGGATCGGCGTCCAATGAGCTGGTTTTGGATGCAAGTGCCCATATGAGAGGAATGCTCATGCTAACATTTATCAGTGAATGAGGTTTACAGATTGAGGCAATGTAAGACTTACAAAGGCCAGACGATGAAGCGCACAAGAAGTACGAGCGTTAGACTCGCCTTATCTACCTGGCCGCCATCTTGACCGTTTTTCATGCGCAACATGCTCTTGCTGAGTTTGACACCAACGACTATGATTTGCAACGAAGCAAAAAGCTCGCCGAAATTCTTGATAGCGGTTGTGAGCCAGGCGTTGAGATATCCGCCTTGGTTGCTGGGACTGAAGAAGAGACGATGGAGTGGGGGCGTCAAACCAATGACGGCACCTACAAGGGCACCAATCAAAGGGGCATTAGCAAACTGCCAAGTGATGTCGAGTGTCTCTTGGAGCCAAGGGGGGAGGCTCCTGTACCAGTTGCGTGTCTTGAGATAACCGCTTTTTTCTATCTGGTTTGTTCGTTTTACGATGCGACGAGGAAGCAGCGAAGTCTCCTCATTGACGATGCCTTGCGGGCCCCTCTCAATGTCTGCAGTTTCAGCATCGCTCTCGTCGGAATCATTCGCCTGCTCGTCTTGGACACTGTCGTCTTGACTCTCTGCACCATCTTCGTCTCCAGGTTTCAGCAGTCTTGGACCAAGTGCAAAGGTAAGTGAATTGCTGACCATGGCGTTGACCAAGAAATATGACTCAGCTCGGTCCATTGCCTGGCTCCCCGATTCGCCGGCAATGAGAATGGTATCTAGAATCCGTGTTTGCTTGAGCGACTGGATGAGAAGTAGAGGGAGGGACGTCGTGTTGTTGAATGCAATAGCTGGCGCTACCCAAGCTGGCAATTTGAAGAAGCGGGTGAGGACGCGGCCGATGAGCAGGGAGAGAAGTGTATAGCAGACGGACCAGACTGTGTACCAGCGGTGAGCCATGGTGCGTGGTGGTGCGCGTTCAACTGCGACGCGAGATTGGTGAACTTACTGAGGATTGGCACGTATCTCAAACCCGTATCTTGATGCATATTGTCGCCAATCTTGTAAATCAACAGCGCAGGGAGAAACATGCGCACGCATAGCCTGGAAACCTCCTTTGCTGCACTCGGTGACATGAGATTGCACTGTGCTGCGACGACGCCCAGAGCAATGGTTAGGAGGACCGAGAGGGCGGCCTGCAGGGCGCCGGTGAAGGGAACGATCAGTTCGGAAATGGCGATGCCCATGGTTGGAGATGGCAATGGAAGAGCCAACTAGACAATAGTAGTAGGAGTAAGAAGGTTGGCATTGCCGCCGTGGTTGTCGCCATTGTTCTTGTGCACGTGCTCTCTCGACTAGTCGCGTTCCTGAAAGTGACAGTGACGTCGGTGCAGTGGGGCTGCCGTTGCCATCTGGGACGCTAAATAATCCTGCCTCCCTTCACCCACTGTTTCGGGTGCATAGCACCTAATAATACTACTATATCGATGCGGTAGCATAATACTACTCCGGTACGATCCCTGTCAAGTCCAGAGTCTTTGTTCCCGAAAGTCGAGCTGGTGCCGGCCACAGAGCCATGGCATGCGTTGTTAGCAGCTGAATGCGTCTAATCCGCCAAGGGAATCTTGGTAATGTGTTCCATCCGTGTGCATCGATACTAGCGCTGATGTATTGAATGAGAATAGATTGAATAACTCCTACATAGTCCTGTATCGGTATAGATATACCGCCAAGGAATATATTCCATCACGCGTCTGTGTGTGACTATATACTTACGGCACTCGAAGAGCTATATGAAACTCATGCCTCCAGTTTGCCGTTTGAAACTCCAAAATCGAGAAAGTACTCTGAAGTGCAGCTATGTACTATTATCTTGCATCTAATACGCTTGGAAATCAACAAGGTACTCCGAGAGCATTTCCCTACTGTCTGTCGGCAGTTTAGGCGAGAACGTGGGGAGCGCCAAAAAAAGACCCAGTTTCCAACCCACTATAACCCCCATTGGAACACAATCGGGAGATCAAAGTTGCCGATTTATCCAGCACCGGTTAGCATCGCCGACGGCCTCGGCTTAACATCATCCATCGCGGTAGTGCTATGTGCTCGTAATCAGCCCCACATGTATGTACGTGCTACATATGACGCTACTAGCCTAAAAATTATTCTCTAACGGCAAGAAGATTTAGACACTGTAGCCCCATAGATTATTCTACATACCAAGAAAAGAGTCAGTACTGCTTCAAAATCAATTTCACCAGGAAAAGCATTCATTACATTACGGAGCCAATCATTTTTGCAGTTGCGCCAACCAAAGGCAGCAAATTCAAGGCATCAACATGTTGGATGGCGACCGTGGCCTTGTTACCGTATATCGCTCTCTTCGATACGCTCTATGAACTTTGCATAGCTGACGTGGTTTGCAGATAACAGGCGCGAATGGAACTATAGGCTACGCTTGCGTCGTATATGCCCTTCAAACAGGCTATCGCGTGCGTTGCGTTGTACGCCGTTCATCAGCCATTGAAACTATCAAATCTGGGCCTTCTGTTCAACCTTACCTCAGCCTTCTTGAATTCTGCATTGTTCTAGACAATGCAGTCGATGGCGCATATGACGAAGCCGTCGCTGGTGCGAATTACGTTGTGCATGTAGCTGGTGTATGGCCGCTGCCGCATCTGCATCCCGACACGGACATTTACAGCCCCTTCATCAACTCAACCAAGGGCTTGATCAAGGCCGCACAAAAATCTATTACAGTGAGAAGAATCGTCTTCACTCAAGCCGGTGCAGGTTTGGTTGATGCAGCTGATGGGGACACGCTGGGCACACGTATGCATCATACAATGGATGGTAAATCCCTCCCTGTGCCTGTCTTCACCAATCATTCTCTCACTGAGCAGTTCAGAGCATGTACAGGTGTCACCGACTTCGGTCAAGTACAGACCGCCGCTGGAATCACCCCACCACGCATACTGCGCTGGAAAAGCTCAATGCATGGCATTCCTTGCGGATCTCCAGGCCAGTGGAAAGCTTCCCTTCTCCATTGCTCAAGTGATTCCAGGGACGGTCATTGGCCCTTCCGAGTTCTGTCGCACCCCTGTTGAAGCTTATGCTCACCTTGATCGGCAAAGTAAAGCTCTTCTTTTTGACAGCGTGGCTCCGCGATATGCGTTTGGATTCGTGCACGTGCAAGACTGTGCAAAGGTACACATCGAGGCTTTGGATGAAGTCAAGGTGGAAAGCAAACATCTTCCCAAGTGGTTTGTTGCTGCCGGGACAGTGCAAGAGGGTTTGGATGGCGAGCAGATCTGGAATACAGCTGTAGATATGGTTGAGGAAGACTTCCCAAGCCAGGTAAAATCAGGGTTGTTCAAGGTTGGGCGAGACAAAGTACCCGTCAACATGCCGTTTCGCGCCGATTCGAGGCTGACTGAAAAGTTACTCCTTCAAGGCGACAGCATCAGGGGATTAAACGAGAGCATCAAGCAATTAGCGCAGTGGTATGTTTCCCTGAAAGAGAACGAAGCTTAACACGAGGTCTTGTCCAAAGAGTATGCCGCCGTTTAGACACGGGATTTTCTACCATTTGAAGTTTTCTTCAAAGTACTCTATGCCCCTATGGCCCATGCCTAACATATGTACACTAGCCCTCCTTGCTTGATCAGCCATAAGTGCTGGTCCACAACAAACAACCGCTAGTGATCCCCGACGTGCATTCTCTGCTGCTTCCTTCACAACCTGATACACGTTGGGTCTTTGGGTTGCGATCCTGACGTTCTTGAGGTCTTTGTCAAGGACTTCATCGTCATGGTCAACATCCCTCGTGATATGTACCTCCATATCAACCTTCTCGTTACCCAATACGCCATGAAAATCACGGAGTAGTGTGGTGAGAAACGCGCGTTCACGAACTGCCCATACTATCTTTATGTGCAGGACCTGTGATGAACCGGTGACAAGTCCACTAAGATGTGATAGCGGTATCGCCACCCCTGTACCCCCGACTATGAACAATACATTCGCAAAGGTATGCAGAGGGACAACTTGACCGTACGGCCCATCGACAAGAACCCGGGTCTTTCTTGGATGCAACAGGCAACTTGATCTCAATCGAGAAGTGAGCCCGTTGTAAGGCCGGATCAGGAACACCAGATTAGACAAAGCTTTTGGCGCCTTGTTTGACAAGAGTGTATCCGACTCAGTTGAGGAACCTAGTAGATCTTCCGTGTTATCAGGGCTAGGCGATAGGGGCGCTAGAGGTGTAATCGCTGACGATGTTGCGTCAGGTGAAACGAAAGCCAGTGTGAATGGATGACTCTGATGGGCATATCGTAGGTCATCAAGAACATGGATATAATAGTAGGATCCTGATCGAGGAGCTAATAAACTCTTGCTGCCGTCCACATCTAGACGTACGAGATTGCTGTTTACATCATAAGTCGCTTTGGCGTTGGTACTAAGCGGTCTACGGTTGAACGCGAAGATCCGGGTAAGACGCAAAGCGCGGTCGAGGATCCAAAGTGCAGCGCAAGGCCATATAAATATGTTCCACTCTCCGGCAGTGAATAGCTCGACGTGGTAATACATGGTCCACAATACTGCGACAGAAAGCGCAATGTGCGTGACCAGGAAGAAATCGTAGTGTCGGCGGCGAATGGCATATACCGAAAGAACGAGGAGGGTACACATTGCAATGGTTGCGATTTCGCCATTCCAAAAGTAGTGTTCTTTCCAGTACTGCGAGAAGCTCGGCCAACCTCCACTCGCCAGGATCATCACCGTGTACCCTACACTGTGCAATACGGCCTGTATAGTTGCGACTCTTGCGACCCATCTATGGAACACATTGTAAGTTCCAAATCCCCACCCAGTTATCCAAATGAGGAAGTCATTGCGCATCCCAAATAGCCAAACCAAAGGGAAATTGGCAAGAGATATGATGCCAGTTCGATCCGACACGAAACGGAGTAGCTGTGCAGACTTCTCTGGCCAGTAGAGATTCCCTTCAGTAAGTCGATAAGAGCAGCTGCAAACTGCTATATTGAATACAACAAACAGAAAAATGGTAAGCGATTGGATTCGAGGAGGTATGGTGCACCAGCCATAGGGCCGCGCGCAGCGGTTGCCAAATGCAGCTGGTATGGTGAGATTGCGCCGCAACCAGGATACAATAAAAGCAGAAACAGTGCGCAGGTTTCGAGTAGAGTTCTCTTGGAGAGCGGGAAGCCTCGAGTATGGCGTTTCCGTACGTCGGCGCTTGTAGACAAACGATAAGAGATGATTTGCGACGCCAATAAGGACTACTATGATCCAAAAGTAGTACATGTACCACCTGGAGACTCGTGTCAGCGACCGTACGTGGGATGTAAGCTGGATAATTTACCCGTATACAAGATGTATCTTGTACTCCCAGTTAGCAGTTTCCTATGTTACAAACGCATCAGCATTACACGGCCCTCTTCGCTCTGGCGGATGGATACAGTACCACAGTGGTATATGCTCGCTTAAAGAGGTCATGTTCAGGTATCACCAGGTGGTTTAGCGATGGGAACTTGAGGGCGTCGGTGGCAGATAATCTTTCCACCTTGTTCTTCGCCTCTGATGACCATTGATCCAAAGCGTGTTGCAGGGAAGGCAATGTGACGTTTGCATTTTGGGAGCACCAGAGACTTTGAGTCTCTATCCAACTCGCGATTGCGCCATCTCGTTGGCAGAATTCATCGAAGCATAGATACAGAGACGTAATGCGCAAGTCGCTGCGACACGCGTCGACTTTCCAAGGCAGTAGAGGGTTGCTATCGTTAAAGGTCACGTAGTTGATCGTCGTTTCGCAAGACAAAGGACAGTCATGTCCCGAATAGAAAGCATACGTTACATTCATCAGAGCGAAATCAGAGTTTAGCTAGGCAGGAATGCGCGAGAAAGAACGCGTTGCAGGACAGTAAGCCGTAGTGGTGCAGTCTCGGATCTATGGCGGGGAAAGATAAATTTCATCAGATAACTCTGCACTAGTTACGTAGTACGTAATCATCGCTGATGCATCGGCATTAACTCGGTGTTGATTTTCCAATCTACCTACTCACGGAATGCCTCTAATAGTACCAAATTGTAGAGACGAGCTTTGCTACTTACTATTGTACTTTTATATCCATCAGGAAAGGATATAGAAAACTAGTATAAGAATAAAGTGGTACCGTATAACAGATGGAGCAGGGAAACATGATAGCAAAGTAGGATGCATAGAGATGAATACAAGATTTTACGGCCAACAACATGGTATGTCTGATTCAATAAGAAGAAGTGATCGTGAAAGAGCGCCAATACACATTTCAAGGACATGCGCAATCCCTTTCACCGGGCTAGTTCAGAATTGAAGTTTGTCTTGAAGGAAAACCACTTATTGATCTGCGTTTGAATTCCGCATTGAGCTGCGAACTATGCTCATGAACGGACTTTTACACGTGCATAACACTGTGAAGATTTGCGCGTAAGACTTTCTAAGCTCTCGTAGCTTGACAAAGCCTCCGATGACTTTTGAAGCTCAAAAGTTCAAACCAAAACAGTGGTCAACATTTTGAGCTCCAGATACGCCAGCTTTCTTCCAAAACATCCTCGAAGGCCGAGACCAAATGGGAGAGCTGGTCCTGCTGTCGAATTAAACTTCATTCTGCCATTATCATCTAGCACAAGCCAACGCTCAGGATTGTACTTGTCCATTCTCTCCCCATCCCAGGCTCGGAATCCATGTTCTTGGGCTGCCGCTTGACATGTCGGGCTGCGGATACCTTCAATATCTAGTGCTGGCTCCGTGAAGCTAGGACCTTTGTTTGTCATCATGATATGAGTACCTTTCGGAATATAGTAGCCTAGGATAAGAGTATCCTCTGTGCTTTCCCGATCCTGAAAGATTCCGGGGTGGCTGAGACGCAGCGACTCCTCGATAACAGCGTCCAGATAGGGGATGCTTGTGTTACATATCTCGCTGCGAGTGGGGAGGCGATGCTCGGTGACAGCAGCTGTATGGGCAATGCGAAGGCTTTTGAGAAGTTTTTCTCGGACATCTAGGTTGTCTGATATGAACTTGAGATTCCAGCACATCGTCGTGCTCGTTGTGTCATGACCAGCGACAATAAATCCGATGATCTGAGTGCAAAGGTTAGCAGATTAGTAGTCGGAGACCTTGATTTAAAGAGCACTCCACCTCATCTCTCATAGCCTCTAGCCAATTTGAAGCAAGACTGCTGTCTTTCTGTGCAAGGCCAACTTGCCTTGAAACCATGAAATCTACTGCTGATTTGACATGCGTATCTTCGTCGTGTTGCTTGCCAAGGGTGTTGAATCGATCCATTGCGTGGAAAACCTGGTTTACAACCAACTCGTCTCGTACTGCCCGTCTACGGCTGATATGTGGAAGGAGTCCAATGATAAACCATGCAAGCTTCGGGAACCCAGTTGCAATCACCACCTCCACACTATCTATAGTATGCAACATAGCCTCCAGGGCAGGGTGGACGGCGGCAATAGGAAAGTCGACAGCTTTACCATCCGTTGCGGCTTGTCGCAGCTGCAAAACTCGAGAGTCGGAATTGGCTAGAGATTTGATCTCATCAATCTGGGGGATGAGAGCCCTTATTTTGTCGCATTGCCAAATCCGAAATCCAGTACTGCATCGAGGGCGGCGAAGAAGAGGTCGTGCTCTACTAAAAAAGGCTTTCCGTCGGCAAGCTCTGCTTTCTTCTTCCAGAGATCGAGTAGCAGGGTTGCGCTTCTATAAATATTTGGGGCTGCGACGTTGTTGAGGAATTTGAGTGCTATCAGATCCTGGAGTAAACGACGCCGGGCCTTCCATTGTGGGCCTGTCGGCATCGTAATATGAAAGGATCGCGCCTCGCCGCCTAAAGCGTTCCGAGGTATCGAAGCGCGTTCAAATTATTTCCGGCGCATGAGGATACCTTGTGCTTCACGAAAATCTGTGATAATGACGGTTGGCTTCTGGCTTGGGCCTAGCCAGAGTTGGAAGATCAGCCCATGACGACGAGACTGATTGATGATCCAGCCGAAGATATTTCCAGGTGAATCTTTCTGGATGGTGGAAACGTCGCCCAATAGGGACCGTGTGGCTTCTTTGTTGTAGGGGATTCCTGTAATGGGCTTCGGTAAAAGGTATCGATACAGAGTATAAAGCACCGTCAATGCAGCGATTGCCTCCGATACAAGTATTTCGATCATTTCCGTCGACCTCTTGATTTTTCAAGACTGTTCAAGTCGTGATGTCGTTGATTACACAGCCTTCCGTCTAAATCTGACTAAACCGACGCAAGATGGAGGAGCTGTGGACAACTTTGACACCGCCGCAAAATACGTCGAATAGTTTTCACAAGCCTAATGTACCCTTCTGTGTCCAGTCGCTTCTTCTAAGGCAAGCATTCAGTCTTCCTCCTTCCCAAAGGGCCTTGATACGCCTGTAAAACGTGTCACCGTAGATGTGGGGGTTATCATCCCTCATTACCCTTTTCGATGTTCGATGGTTAGCCTCATTGCCTTCATGTCCCAAAACGGAGACTGGGTTGTTGATCACCTAGAACTGAGGAACAGGCTAAATTTAAACAGGAGCTTGGGTGGGGGCGAGAAAATGGCAGCTTTCTTGGCGCACCCAATCACCGCAACGGAGCTGAGAGGTGACGAACGCAAAGATAGACTAGGAAAGTATGAAATAAGGCGTGAATTTGAGGTATGAGGTCTACTGAGCTCTCGCAACCAGGCTTTTCGCAATGGTGAGTTATGCTTGTGTATTATAGCCTCTGTGGTATAGACGATTAGTACTGTAAACCCAGAAGTACCATATATAGTCACGTGGTTATTCACTAACTAATAATGCTGTATTTAAACTTGCTCCTATCATGATACACATCACAATACACAATACTTCCTACACTC